TCTGCAAAGAGGTTACCTTTGGTAGAAGGTTCTACTTCCAGACACTCTTTGAGAACCTACAAGCTTACTGCAACACACCATGGAACAGGTGGAAGGCGGTTCTGAGACGGGACTATTTCCACAATCCTTGGTCAGTTGCTTCTGTTTTGGCGGCTTTACTTCTTCTCCTTCTCACTTTCATACAAGCTGTATGCTCTATCTTGGCCCTATGAGTTATTACAATAGGTAACTACATCTTGTTGATAGCCAAAACTGATCAATAAGGCTATACATTTTTTCTTATATAGTATAGAATTGTAGTGTCAGAGCAGACGTCACTAAGATCCTGACATGATTTTGTACAATGGCTTGAACTACTTGCTTTATTAAGGGGACACAATTTTCTTTGGTTTTACAATTTTCCATGAGACGTCACTGCCTGGAAGCCATGTTTGGGACACTTGAACAAAGGCTGAAATGATCTGACCTCTTCGTAGATTAACCAAGGAGAGACACATCCCAAGCAGCACTTCAAAGAATCTACCTTTAATTCAAAGTTTTTTCTTCTGAAGACCTTTCTTAAACTATTCAGAATTAGGCCTTCCCGAATTGGAAATTCAGAAAGTTTTCATCATGTTTTAGAAAGATATTCCTGGAACCATTCTAAAAATAGAAGAATCTTGCTATATTCCTGGAATCATTCTAAAAATAGAAGAATCTTGCTTACTCTCAAGTGAGACACTAAAGTCCATTACTAACTCAAGGGGAGAACATCTGCTCATAGTGAATAATGAACTCATGTGATATAGAAACAAGAAAAACTGATATATCTACGAAATTTTTTAAAGACTCACAACAAATTTGTGACTATTTTAGATGTTAAACAACATTGAAGATTGAGATTATAAACGAGATAAGGGCATTTACAATGCTAAAGAATCTTAATATGATATCTTAACAAAAGTTATATTAATTTTTAAATCATGAAAAAACTCAAACCAATTATAAAATGACATATATTAAATGAGTTTCCTAAAAACTTAAGAATAATTTCTTAAACAAGAATTTTAAGAGTCAATTCTTCTTCCTCTCTCCTACTGTTTGTTATTTTATTAATTTTTTTTGTTAAGATATTATGCTAAGAAACTAGCATTGTACATGCTCTTATAGTGGTCATTTTTGGGCTTAAAAATCAAACCCATAAAAGCATCAGTAATGGAAAGACCTGATATGGGGGCTCTTCTAATTTTTTATTATTTTCAAAAAAATTTTTTTTTTTTTTTCAGAAAAAATCGATTTTCGAAAAAAAAATAAATAAATAAAAATTGACTAATCAGAATATGACACATGTCAAAAAGTTGAGAAGATTTGACTCTTCCAACTCTCTGCAGAGAGGCGCTTATCTTTTCAAACTTGTCATTTATTTTTATTTTTTTTCTTTTTTTTTTTAATCTAAGAGCTTTGAGAAAGCTGTCCGTGGATGGTCTAAGGGAAAATGGTACAAACTGCACGGAGGATTAAAATATATATGAACTTCGTGGGTGGTCAAAGCAAAGCATAATCAAATCTGCGTCATATTATTTTACAAATAAGAAGTAGACAGGCCTTATTAACTAGCTCGATTAAGATTACATATTTTATTTTATTGGAAAACTAACATGTAGCCATAAAAGGAAATTAGATATAAAAGGTTTATATACTAAACCATACAGAAAATGGTAAATGTTTGGGTTGTAACCATGAATGGTTCTTTCGAAGACGTAAGACAGTATCTAGTGTTACCCCTCATCAGGAACATTAGCTTCTGAGAGGATAACCTTCAGAATAAGAAAAATCAGAAGCAAAAGCTGAAGTATGCAGCAGACAGCCACAAGAAAAATTAAACTCTGTTATCTCGGAGAGAATAATTGTTTTTTAATATTCTTTTAAATAATGAAATTGGGTTTCTTATCCAAACCGAGAATGTGTGTGTTACGTAAAAGACATGGACTCGCAGCTGAAGGTTTAGTAATCATTGAAGCCCTTCAACATGAAACCGTTAAAACTTGATTTCATGGTATTTACGCGAATTGTTCTTTTATTAATAGTATAAAGAGTTTACAAGATAGAGGAAACTGAAACAAATTCATGTTCGTTTATCATGGCTCGAGCTGGACCTCTGGTGGAGCTGGGTGGATTTTCGAGTTTTTTGCCTCCCGTTTACGACATATAAAAGAAAAAAATAACCACAAAAATATAACTATAAATAAAATAGAAAACAAGAATAAAAGATACAGTTTTGGTTTCGTCCCAAGTTGCCAAGCTCTTACTGGATCTTTTTCCATATTATTACAAGTTGTTGAATTGACTGGAACTGCAATCGGGAGTGCAGCCATTTCAGAAAGAAAGAAATGAAAGAAGGAACTGAGAATAGAAACAAGATTGAAAAGGAGCGAGAAGGTTCTGATACAATGTTCAAAAAAGAAAGAGAAGGTTCTGATATTATGAAAGATGTTGAATTCCCACGTTGGGATTGTTCTCAAAAGGCGTTAAATAGCCAAAGTTGTTACACAAAATCAGTAGATTTATAGAAGAAAATGGGGGTGGAGTGTCAACATCATAGTAGAGAGCACGAAATCGATCTATTATTTTTAATGTTCATTGAACATAAACTTCCCATTGTCCCTAGTATTATGTCATCCTTGTACTTCGAATAAGTCGCTTTTATATTATGCTCACGGTATTTTTTTCCTTCTTTTATATATTTGTGTTATGAATAAAACCATAATAATTTGTTTTTTTTAATCAGAATATGTAGTCTACAGATATTGTCATATTGTTTGTGTTTCATTGTCAATTAGGGAGAATATTTCTCAGTATTCTCTAAAAAAAATAAGAGTTTCGAAATTGTATTGGTTAGTTTTTCTATCTTCTAAGGCAAATAACTAGGTATGAATCTGATGTTTCTCTTAACCTCTCTTTTTTTTTTTGGATTATGAAAACATCAAGCTCCTTGAATTGGAAAACTCTTTTATATTTTTGATCAAATATTTTTCGAGAATAAACCATAAATTTTGGTAAAAGAGAGATATCGTCAGAATATGATTGACGATATTTAAAATTTTTATTGAGTAATGAACCTGATTTTATTTTCTTTCTTTTCTATCGAACATTATTTCTTCTAATGAAACTCATACTAAATTCAATGTGTTTGCACCAAATTTCAGTGTTTTACAGATATGGGTTATACAAATTAAGTTTTTTTTTGTAATTGGATATACAAATTAAGTTGTTTTTAGGCTGGGTTTTGGGGCTCAATCGTTGGCCGAAAAATCACCAGTGATGTGTTGGAGTAACTCTCTAATGCAACGTCAATAGATGAAAATAAATACCCTTTCATTATTGCCGGACGAGTTATACTCAAAACAAATACTATGTACGTTTATATTATCGATGATATGCATTTCACACACATAATCATGTTGTATGACAGTATGAGTGATATATTTCGATGATATAGTTCTTATTTAACCGATGATTCATATTATCATGTTGGAAAGAATTTTCATTCAAGTAAGATTTTTTTGAAATATTGTCTGCAGGTATGAGAAAATTGTTCTTTCCAAGTTTGTTCAATAAACCTGGTGTTTTTAGTTAGCTTTCAATTTTATGTAATTATATGATTATTTCATGGTAAACTTATCTACGGTGAGATCCCTCGAAATTATGAAACACAATTTTAACTAGTTTTTGTATAGTTGAAAAGCGTAGTGTTTAATATATAGATATGAGAAACACACGTCAACTGCTGTGATTAAACAAACATCAGTGGAACTGTGGAAGTAAGTGATGAAATGAGGTAAAAAAAACAAAGTTTGGAAATGAGGTGCAAAGAGTGGTCCTAACTAAAAGGTCTCAGAAGATACTAATGCATTCCCGGTGAAATGCAAGCGACTAAAGTGATGTCTCTTCACTTTAGGGTCCACTCTTCTTCTAACTCTCTTTTTCCCCTTTAATAGGTCAATCGAAGAAGACGGATCGTCTTCCCTTGGTCTGTCTTCATGTTCCAGTGACGGCAGTTGCGGCTGATTTAACACCGGAGCGTTATTGGAACACTGCCTTACCAAACACTCCCATGCATGCCAAACTCTCTCCGCCACCTTTTTGGAACCGCCGTGCACATTGGAATAGAAGGCGCACGTGGACACCGGCAACTGCAAGGGTAAGAAAACACACGTGACACTGTGACAGCGTCGGAATTCGGAAAAGGTTCGGCGGCGGCGTTGGCGTCCACACCGAGAAACCAGGAAAGAGAACCGACGTAGGAGTGGGTAAAGGCGGCGCGATAGTGCACACGCGCCACAAAGTGATCCGTCTCAAAAAAGACAAAATTAAGGATCTGTTTGTTACCTCATTTATTTACAAGCAAATGCTTCATACAAATGCTGTATCCCAATTTTGTTTGTTCTATTTTAAATTATGGATTTTTTTTTGACATCCTTTTAAAGTATTGATTTGGATGATACATCTGAATATAACTTTATTTGTTTAACTGACTATAAATTTATATTTCAATTTAGATGATTTTAATAACAAAATGACAAAATACTCAGGTTTGTTGGAAAAAAGAAAAAGACAAAATACTCACATTTTCATGTAATCACATTTATAGTTTTATTTTTAATTATTTTAGTTTTAATATATTTAAATTTTAAGCTTAAAAATTACACTTATAAATGTTAGACTCCACAAGAGTTTCCTCCTGGACCACCATAATTAAAAAAGAAACTAAGTCGGTCCCACAAAAATGGGCTTTCTTTTCCAATTTTTAACCCATAACATTTGGTACTATCTTGCAACTTTTGAAAACGAAAAGAATTCATTTTATGTAGTTGATACTTAGAATCCAAAGCTTTAATATTTGAAAAAATTCCTGATCTCCTGCAGTGGTTGTCTGAAATTGCCATTACCCATAGGAGAGCTTGGACGAGAACGTGAAGCTTGAACTACACCTCCAACTTCAATCATATTTGCACCATCATCTAAAGGTCATTAGGTTCTACAATAGGAAACACCTTAGATACTTGAACAAACCCTGAACATGCTGTATTATAACATCATTTTCTATCTTTACCCTATCAAATCATATTTAATATCTTATATGTTATTTAATATAGAATTTCACCAAAAATAAAAATTGTTCGCAACCACATAATACCTTCCAATATCCAAATGTTCAAACACGTCCGTCTCCAAATTGCCCATAATTTATCTGTCAAATAAGATTTACGATATTTTAAAATTATTTTTTAAAGATAAATTAATTAATATATCAAAAAATTAATAAAATGTAAAACCTACCATCCAACCGGCTGAGATAAAATTTACTTTGTTATTCATTCCACTGCCTATATATATTTGACTATATGATGTTTGATCTTTTGACACATTTAAGATAAATGCAGTAAACATACTTTCTACACCATGGAATGGCCTGAAATGATCTTAATCCAGCAATCTGCCAAGAGCCAGTTTTAATTAATACTTAAAAAATAAATATAAAAATATTATTAGAAGAATGAGATAAATGGGTACATGTGTTCCAGGGATATCGACTGTTGACGGATGAAAGTACTTCTCATCGAATATTTGTGAAATTTGTTTTTGTATTTCTTAATATAGGAACATTTCCATCCGGACATCCTATTCTCTTCTTATTAAATGTTTTGTTCTTGTCAGTTTGATTTTTTAATTCATGTATCGATACTGATGGTTTCATTTTTTTCAAAAAAAATAAAATTGTAATAGTCAATCATTAATTGATTAAAATAATATTTTGTAAAATATATAATAAAAAAATCTAAAAGATGAATTTCTAAAATCACGCACCTGAATTTTGTGGGTTTTGAGCAATGGATGAGCAAGACCTGGTTGCATATAGATATTTACGCAATCATATGTTACATTTCCACTTATCTACCAAGGACAGGAACAAAAACATAAGACTTTGTGGTTGTTAATTTTTAATTTTTTAATAAATATGGTTAAACAATTTAAAATGATTTTTTTTTTAATCTTATTTTTTCAACGTGTGTCTCAAGTTTTTGTTTCACCTTGAAGGATCTGAAAGGCACCATACTTTCATCGGAATGAACCAGGACTGCTGATAACAAAAGAAGTACAAGACTCAAAACCAAAGCCATCATAATTTTTGACATTTTATTTTGCTTTGTATCCTCAAGACTAAACATAATCTGTTATTTATATACTTATTAAAATGTCAAGGAGGGTAAATTAGAAGAATTAGCAGTACATTCAATTTAAAATGTACACATCTCCACATTTGACCACGCAAGAATATTATTATGATTTATGACAGGTAGCAACCAAACATCTCCACATTGACCACAATTTTTATGTTTGGGGTCAACACATTGATTACACAGATTTTTTTTCTGTTTTTGGTCAAAGTATTATTCATTCCCATTTAGGTAATTAAGATGAAAGTACTAATAACATGCCTTATATTGTACACCAAATAAGTAAAAATTCTTAGTTAAGTGAGATTGTGGACCAAAGACATAGATGAAGAGGTGTCACTTTGAACCCGAGTTAATGATAAAAGTAAGATTTGCAAGCATAAGTAAATAGATTACGTTGGCTAATTACGGTGTCTAATCCTCCCATGTCTCAAGTTCAAGCCCCTGGATAGTTATTTTTTTAAAATAGCAACGATGAGTTGGTCTATTATATGTCTATATGTCAATAATAATATCTACGAAAACTAAGTGGACAAAAATTAAGATGTAAAAAGCTCATATATATAACAAAATTAGGATGTTAATCTATTTGTGTATAAAGTTACTTATGCCATATTATGTGTCTCAACTCTTAACCAGAAAATAATTCGAATATCATTACACAGTCATTGCTCAGACAAGAGCTTCCTCCATTACACCAGGTTGCTCAGTTGCTTCATCGAATCCCCTACAGATTCTGACTTGCTCATCCGGAATGGGAACCTCGTGAACAATCTCGGGAACGCAAAAAAAAAAATGTTTCAAACTTGTTCAGAAGCGTCTGCAAAGAGGTTATCTTTGGTAGAAGATTTTACTTTCAGACACTCTCTGAGAACATCATTTGGTAGCCAAAATTCAATAAACTCTAAACATTTTTCGCATCAGAAACAGACAGCATTCAGATCCTGACATGACATTGTACGGAATCTTGCAATGGCTTGAACTACTTGCTTTATTATTAAGGGGACAAAATTATGTTTGGTTTTACAATTTTCCATGACATGTCACTGCCTGGAAGCATCAGGAAGTGACACTATATAGAACAACAGTTACAGGCAACATAGACAGACAGCTTACATCGAAACTATATTCCATAACTGAAGAGACCAAAAATGATTGCTGAAACTAGGACCCAGTGCGCGGTTTCATCTTGAGAAGAGTGTTGTGACACGCTCAGGAGATGTTAGTGTTGCCACTCTTTTAAACTGTCAAAATCCATACAGAATGAGAAACTAGCTCAGTGTGAGCTTTGCCATTTTCTTAAACGCTTAGGAGTTAGGAGCTATGGCCACGAAAAAGTACCTTTTCTTGGTTGTATTTATTCCTTATAGCAATGAGGGTGCTTCCACTGGAGTTAAGCTGCAAATCCTCCATTGCAACAACTGTGTTTTTTAGAGCGGCCGTCTCATATCTGGTATAGTGCTGCAGAGTTGGGTTCTGTAACTCACTCATCATTATCAGCAAAAGATTCGTCTTCACTCTGAAGAATACAGTAAAAACATTCAGAGCCTAAAAAAAGGTGAGCTCACCCAAGGATGGTTAGACTGGTCAAGCGTCCACCTTGCTAAAAAAACAGCAGAAGCGGCAACTAGAGAAGGCAGGAACCGTAGGAAAGTATATTCCACGAGAGTCAGCTCTGCAATATAGTTTGCTAAGCACTCCATCTCAATGTGGGGAACCTGTAATAGTGTGTACCAACCAAAATTCAGTTTTTGTAGGATTGCAACTTTCTTAGTATAACTAGTGAATGTGAATCCACCTTGTCAGAAACTTGAGCTGCTTGAATGAACCGCCTGAAACGCAGAAGAAGAAAATGACTTTCTAGTTTCAAAATGACTTTCTGTTCTTGAAAACCGTTGAAGGAAATGTAGTTGTCATGCCTTAACTGTTTACCTGAGAAACGTTTTGGTGGTAGGAACTGATAACCGAAAGTGGAGAAAGCTTAAGACTTGAATCTCCATGCTCAGTACCTGAAAAAAGCGTATTTTTTTCTTTGGTTATTCTTTTATCAAAAACCAATCTTCTTATATATATGGAGTCTGCATGTTCATTACTTCTAGTCTTGAGTATGTGTTGTCTGTAATGAAGCAAAACTCCTCTAACCGCGGTGGACAAATCTCTTCGTATTTTCTTCGGTGGCTCAAAAAGAAGAATGCCTTAGTTAGTTGACAAGTGCTGAAACTTTGCTTTATTTCAATCTGAATGAAGTTTTATGACTTGAAACTGAGGAAACACTAAAGGTGGGGAACTCACGAGGATATTAGCATGCAAGTGACACCAAGCAGCTGGAGCCTATGCTTTTCGATGTAATTATGGGACAGGAACCGATCAATTAGGTTCACTGTAAGGTAAAGCGTATCTGAAGCCAGCCTGTACTCTTCAGAAACCTGGAAGAAACATAGCATTAATAGAGACTCTTACTCAAAAATGCTTACCAGTATAACACACTTTCAACCTTTTGTTTGGTCCACATTGCATATGAAAACATGATGAAGCAACTTGTTTATAAAAACATTGTTGTAATACCTCCACAAGCCAATCAATCAGAATCCCACGCATGTTGGGGTCGATATCTCGCTGCACTTGCACCATGTAGCTACTTGAAGGTCTTTGTTCAAGCTGCACACAAAAAAAAAAAAAAAAAAAAAAAATAGTTGTAATGCTAATAACTCAGAAATGTCATCTTCTGGAAAGATAAAACAAGACCATGTAATGCAAACTACCTCTGCAACATGATTGCTGTCATATATACTTGCAGCATATAAGCTACAGAGCTGGGGATCCTGGACATTGGAATCTATATCTACAACCTGAAGACAATCTCTGACACGAGATCCTTCTTCTTCTGCACAGTCCAGTTTCTTCAGAAACATCTTCATTTAACAATAATTATATATATTCACATTCTTCAGAAGTGTAGTTTCTTACTTGGCTTAGTAACTTGTCCATCTTTGGAGATTCGAGCAGAGGCATCTAAGGATTCAACCACCCTAATCTTTGACAAATCTTCTGCTAGTTTTGATTTTTCAGCATCCACATCTACCAAAATGTGCTTAGTCGTCGTCTCTCTTCGGTCTCGCTTGCTAGCCTGTCATGTTGTATCGGTAAGAAGGAAAACACATATCAAGAAAATGCAAACAAAGCGTAAGAGATTGATCGCTACCTTAACATCGCCTTGTGTACAAATATTTTCTGACAAAGTGTTAGTCACATCCTTGAGCACCGCCCGTCTCTTATGATTTAAGGCTGTAACATCTGATGATGCCATTCGTTTTTTAGTAGCTATAGGGACAAGCTTTGGTTCCTGTTTCAAAGATGGAGATATCGACGCTCCTAAGGCCTTAGCTCGTGATCTCGTGACTCTCACATTATGTTGTTGGATTTTCGAAGTAGAGATTGTTTCTTTGTTTGCTTTAGGATGCCTTGAAGAAGCTCTATTCATTTCTTCTTTTCTGTTCTTTTTTTTTTAATTTGGAAATCTCCACCGGCCTGCAGAGTAAGTCATTCAAATGTTCAAAATGTGAAGCTAAATCCAAGTATCAGTTTCAGGAAGATTATAAATTTCTGAGATATTTTTTGTGAGAGAGCTAATTAGAGCAAACAAATCTTGTTATTCATAAATTAACATTGCTTTAGTTTTCTTAACGTTTCCGTGACAATAACAAGAAACAAAAAAAAGACGCAAGAGATCGAGCACAGTCTTAACAAATTGAGTAATTTTCACAAAAACAGATCGAGATGTTCAACAAAATTTAAACCGGGTTAAAACGAGCTAAATCATAGATAATAAAATCTCAAAACAGATCTAGAAACTGAAAAAAAGATATCATCGATTCAAACGAAGAACACGGAAGAGGCGTGGAGAAGTGATAATATGATACCTTAGCTCAGAAAAATCGAATTGCGAGCTTGAGAGAGACAACCTCCAATGGAGAAGGGTGAGAGTGTGTTGCTGAAATAGGAGGAGGAGGAGCGGGATTTTGTGGTCTCGTTCGAATTTCCCGATATTAGGGGGAAAAAAAACAATTTGATATTAAGTCAAAAGGAAAGAAAAAAGAAACTTCGAATTTGGACAAATGTGATTTGTTGGATTATTGGGAGTGTCAGAATGGTATCTGACACTTTGACGTCCGGTCCCGTTTTTATGTAAATTCGAAGAAATAATCAGCCGTTACGCGCCTATTCTATCGCATCTGTTCCCTCCCATTACCGTTTCAAAACCTAAAAGCCCATTGCAATAAACTTAAAGGCCCATTGAAATAAAGCCCAAAGTCGATTATTTTAAAACATTTCACTTATATTTTGTATTTGTCAATCAATTTATTTTTGATTGATCGATTTATTTTGCAACAGTCGAATTATATTTTAGATTATTTGACTTATTTTGCAACAGTCGACTTATTTTGAATTAATTAACTTATTTTACAATAATTAACTTGTATTTTAGATTAGTCAAGTGGTATTCTCTTTTTCTTACCAAAACTATAAAATTAACTTATATTTTAGATTAATCAATTTTACAACAATCGATTTATAATTTAGGCTAGTCAACTAATTTGACTATAATTGACTTTTATCATAAGAGTCAACTTATTTTGTATTAATCGACTTATTTCATAACATTTGAATTTTATTTTCGAATAGTTGATTTATTTTACAACAATTAATTGATTTATTTTGTGTTGATCGACTTATTTTACAAAAATTAATCGATAACATTTTCTTTCCAAAATCGCAGAATTACATTTTCTCGTCAAAGCCATAACATCAGATTTTATTAAATTACATTTTTCCGCTAAAAAAAAAATTTACATATTTTTGTTTAAACAGTGAAATCGTTTTTTTTCACCAAAACTGCAAAATCACATTTTTCCGTCAAAACTAAAATCACATTTTCTTATCAAAATTACAATATCGGAGTTTCCCGTTAAACCTGCAGAATCATGTTTTTTCACTAAAATTTTGAAATTATGTTTTCAGTCAAAAAATACAAAATTTTGTTTTCCATCAAAATTATTTGATTAATAAATATATTTTATATCAAATTTAAATTATATTAAAACTAATCAAATGCAAATAGTACTATACAATTAAATTCTTTTTTTTGTTAAGTTTAACGTCTTTTAACTTGTAAATGGTTAATGTTTTACGCAACTGCTATCAGCCTTTGTTGAAATTTAGAGAAAATATAAAAAACCTGTCACCAAAAATGGAAATAATGAGTAGATTGTACCCAACGTCAATATATATATATATATATATGTTTTACAACCATCAGCATTTTTTTACTCATGTAATACATTATATTTTAGTTTTGTATGAATTAAATTTTGTTATACAATTAAACCATTAAACTTTCATCTCTATTTTTTTCTAAAAATATTTTTAAAAGTTGTTAAAACATGTACATGTTTCTTTTTCGTTTTCCTCTCCGGGAAAGCTTACATCTTCTCTTTTTTTCTTTTTTCTTTTTTATCTAAACATATATATCATCTTTTTTTTTTTTGCCAATTGCTTATAATAAATAAATCAGATACATATGCATATGAAAACTAATATATAGCTAGAGACATCCCCACAAAGGGCTTAGATAAATAGATGTAATTACAAGCAGAGTAGAAAAGTCGGGTCTAAACCATCGAAATGAGAGGCCGACGTGTTATGTCCAAGAAGATGAGAACGATTATAACACAGAACATATACAAAGTAATTGCAGAATGTTTATAAAGTATATCGATCTTCATTCAACTGTTTTATTACCGATCAAAAAATAGATAATAAAAAATGAAAAATTTGCACATAGAAATGAAAAATTTCTCAGATGAGATCAACTAACAACCAAATATTACATCGTCTAGAACTTTTTTTCTCTCAGTAAAAACATTGGAAAAATGTCATTGACTACAAATTTTAAAACAAAAACTTAAGGAAAGTATGGAGTTCGAGAAATGTGTGCTATATTTTTCATCGTATTTCTGCTTAATTATTGGTAACGTAAAATTCTCTTGTCCTCGTGGTTTTTTTAGAACGTGTAGGATTGTCCCTTTGAATATATTTGTTCTTACCGATTTCTCAGAACATGTTTTTAGGCTATTAAATGTGTCATGTCACATGTGTAATACAATAAGGCTTCTACAGAGAAAATAGTAAACGGGGTTAGCTTAAAGTCCAAGGTACCAAATACTGACTGTATCTCTGAAACAATATCATATGGGCCTTTATTAGGCTTTTCAGTTATTAAGTGCAAAATTTGCTAAGTCCTTCGCCATTTATTTACTAGATATTGATGAACCCACAAGTCTGTAGCTTAACTGGTGGAATCAAAGATCTTTCAAAGAGAGTGCACCTTAGGTATCGGGTTTCGGGCTCAGGCCTTCCTTACTACGGAGGGAATTTATCAATTCTGATCCCTGGCCCAAATGCTTCTAACCCAAAACAAAAACAAAATAAAAAATCTGACTAGAAAAATGAATAAAATATTTTTGCATACTAAAAAACAAAAATATTTATGGTTTTGGCTATAAAGGTTTGGTTCATAACTTCAAGGCAAATTTACAAGCTGTCTTGGTCAACTTGGAGGACAATAATGGGGTCCACGTATTCCCTTTATCAGATCAACGGCTGATCTGTCCCCACGATCCAACCAGATGTGCCTTTGATCATCACATTTTCTTCATGGCTCATCTTCCTCCACGATTCATCATTTAAAACCGTCGATTGTCTAAAGATCTGATGGCTCCACTTGACTCATCTCTTTCCTTAGAAAGTCCCTCACTGTGCGTCCCGCTTTTTTTTTTTTCCCTTTCTTCGAAGTTAGAATCTCTACGGAAGTAAGGAAAATGCAGGAACAAGCGACTAGTTCTTTAGCTGCGCCTGCGAGCTCTCTACCATCAAGCAGTGAGAGATCATCAAGCTCTGCTCCGCCTTTAGAAATCAAAGAAGGTCTCTTTTCTCTCAAAAATTTTCCATATTTATTTTCTGTTTGCTCGAGCTCCGATCTCTTTGGTTTTGGAAGAAGGAAATCCCCATCTGGGTTTTCTCTAAATCGGATCCATGATAATCAAATTCCTTAAAATCGAGAAGATTTATCACTTGCGAATGTGTTTTTGATCACAATATCAAATTTTGCGGCAGGGATGGAGAGCGACGAGGAGATACGGAGAGTGCCGGAGTTCGGAGGAGAGATCACCGGAACGGAAAACTCCGGTCGGAATTCGATTCCGGCAACTGGTCAGGAGCAGATTCAGGCAACGGCCGGAGAAAGACAGAGGAAACGAGGAAGGAGCTCCGCTGATAAAGAGAACAAACGGCTAAAGAGGTTGTGTATTTTATGACCGATATACCCTTCCGAGCTTAGCAGTAGATTTGGTGGTGACGGGGATCGTTTGGTCTTTTTTTTGTTTGATTCTTATTATAAAGGTTGTTGAGGAACAGAGTTTCAGCTCAACAAGCAAGAGAGAGGAAGAAGGCTTATTTGAGTGAATTGGAGAGTAAAGTGAAAGACTTGGAGAACAAAAACTCTGAACTTGAAGAAAGACTTTCAACTTTGCAGAACGAGAACCAAATGCTTAGACATGTATGCATCTCTCTCTCTCTCGCTCTCACCATTTTCTCACTAGCATCACTGTTGCTTCTTTAATCTTGTTAAGTTTTTGAGATTGAGATCCTTGTGCTAAAAATTAACTATGATCACAGTGCTTTTTTTTTACTGTTTTCTAATGTGTTATTTTCTACAGATTCTGAAGAACACAACGGCTAATAAGAGGGGAAGCAGTAGACAGTAGTGGTGGTACTAATCCGGAGTCTTGACGCAAGTGTTGGATATTCTTCTTGTTTTTTTTTTTTCTTAATTGTTGTGTATAATATTTACAGAACATGCTGAAAAGAGGGTTAATCACTTAATTGGTCTAATATGATCAAACTAATAAACTGAAAAATCCCAAATTAATATAAACAGTCTGGAACATTTACTAGTATAATCAAACAAATTATTTATTCGTATACAAAAACCTGAAGATGCACAAGGCAAAAGATTGCAAATATGACATAATTTGACAATATGGCATCATATTTACTATTTATGATATATTTAGCAGAGCCGTTTCAAATTATGTGTAGGCCATATCTAATATTTTTTTTTATTAAAATGATAGTAAAACAGTTTTTTGTGCTCTAAGTATAGGTTCTATACTTTATATGTAGTTACAACAAACATATTTTTGTACTTAAGGGTCATGGTTGATAACTCTAATTTCATGTATGAAAAGAAGGCCAAATATACTGGCTAGTATAGCTGATTTATTATTGTTGGGACTATTTTAACAAAGTGGTTCCAACATTTTTTGATAACTTTTACGATGATTTTTTTTGTTGGAATCACCAACCTTTGAGAGTGATGGATATCATGGATTCGCCTATGTAAGCATTTTAATTTGGTGTACTCGTATGTCAAATTAGAATACAATTTAATGAGAAACCGATGTACAAAATAGGATGGTTAGAAAGCTTGTAATTGAAAGTTTGGATTGAAATTTGAGCTACTACTCGAATGGTCATGGTGTTTCCTAACTCATCTCCTCCAAGATTTCCGATCTGATTTCCTTTTCGCTCTCATCTTTTTACTTCTACGTCTCTTTTCTTTCTTCCATTAGGACCCACTATCACTTTCCAATCCCGAACCAAGATTAATAGTCTCTCAGTTGTTTTTATTCTCCATTTAAATTTACGTCGATTTCATATTTTGTCTCTTAAATTTACGAAACTCATATATTCATCTTTTAAAGTTTTTTTAGTAACTTTTGATCAGTCAAAAATATAAACAAATTATGAGTAAAACATGAGAAAAATATAAGAAAATTATAGGTAAAATATATTTAAAAAGAAAACTGAGGAAAAGATAACCTAACACTTGGGCTTTGGACATTTTGTCGTCCGGTCCCGTTTTGGTGTAAATTCTCTACTATGGCTTGATGCCTTGTGAGTGATACTTATTTCAAGTTTATGAATTTGCTGTTCAACAATGTCGTGGAAATCGTTTTTCTAATCCTTTTCTGAATTTCAGCTGAGACGGAGAAGGACAAACTCTTGCTAGCGGCAAGAAGGATTAGAAGAGCGACGTGCACCGAATTTATAATCTCGCTGTATGCAAAAACCTTCTCAAGAAGCAGCATTACTTATTTTGGCAAATTTAGGTAAATATTGTTATTGATTTTACTTTACCGTGAAAAAGCTTTTCATTTTCTAAATAGTATCTTCTTGTATTGTGTTATAGGTCTGGCTATTTAGGGACCAAGTTCACAATTTATGACAACAGGCAGCATCATCACTCTGAAGCGTAAAGTAAAATCCATCTCTGCAAGTCATCATAGAAGGCTTTTCTGATCTTCAGTTTTTGTATATACTTATTGTAGTAGCTCTTTGAACAATGTTTTATATAACCCGCCTCCTAATTCACTGTGAATAAATTTGAGACTTCGATGTCCAGTCCCGTTTGGTGTAAATTCTATTGACGCAAGTGTTGGATTTTCTTCTTATGTTTTTTTTTTGTGTGGATAATAATTACAGAAAATGTTGTTTTAGATAATCGGACTCTGAGAAATATAATCGGTATAAGTATATTTATAAAACTAAAAAAAAAACCCAAAACTAATTGACCGTTTGGAACAACAAACTATTAAAGCATATAAAAAAAAACTGAAGATAAATATGTAACCAGCTATGTAAAATATAAGAAAATATAACAACCGATATAAAACTTCTATGTCGACATAAAGAGAGAAGAATGAAAACATTCAAAGGGAAAAAGATTAGAACGAAATATATATGTGAAAGTTTCAGTGAGAAGGGAAGAATTTGTTGAGGCAGCAAGGTAGACCATAAAACTCATCGTTTCGGACATCAAGATTGTACAGTCGAAACTTTTCCCACCAATTCAGTCCACAATCTTTCTTGGCTTCCTCGCTCTCACGACACAATGTGCAATCAAGCACTAATGCTATTATTCCCGCAACCGTTGCGTGTGACATGAATATCACTCTTATCACATCTTCCAACTGTTTTGTATTCACAAAAAAAAAAATCCAATGAAAACCTAATTTGATAAGTACATTAACGAAAGAGTGTTCAAAAGTGTGTCTCAGGATGTACTGACCCAACTTGAGCGATGATCAGACCGCCAACCTCCATTGAAATATTCTCTAAAGTATTGAGGGATTGAAATAGCCATGAAAAAGGAAAATCCCAAAATGAATTTAATGTTGAAGTTGTTTAGGTTGCAAAACTGTAGAAAGCTAAGCCCCGCAGAAGCTGCATTGCATTGAAATTGATTATAATTTTTAGTGAAAAAAAAAAAAGACAAAGCATGTATGTTGTACGAAATAATATTAGTATTGATAGAAATTGTAAGTGTGATCATGTGGTGAGGAGACTTACACACGAAACATAATACGATGCAGTAAACAGATGCCATGATTGGTAAGGGTATCGACGCGAAAAAAGCTCCAAACTTTCCTGCATTTTGATCAAAATAAATAAGATACTAAACATTTATTCAGAAAATTCATTTATATATAGGAAGATTAGGTCAAAAATACCAAAAATGGAGAAAAAAAGCATGAAGGCAGCTGATATTTGTATCACTCTTCGACTCCCGATCTTAGTCATTGCCAAAAGTCCAACACTTTCTCTGAACATTAACGTTAACCATATCATAAGCCTTTATCATAATTTATATATCAGAAATTTTTGTCATAAAAATAAATGCTCAGAAAATAACAATCTAGGTTAGAGATATGTTTGGTTACGTTGATGTTGTGATCCCTGAGACGCCTCCAAGCATGCCGTTGAGTAATACTCCAACTCCCTACAAAATATTCATTCAAATTTTTTTTATAAGATGATAAAAAACGTAGTTAACAAACGCTTACAAATATTTTAAGAAAAATGTGACTAATCAAATTGTTTATAGACTAACCAGCCAGCCAGTACCACGGCTAATAACTGATGGTGGAATTGGTGTCGCGCTTCCATATCTTGCGGATGCATAGAACAAACCCGTTGACTACAATTAAAATAATACTTGCACTCTTCAGTTTCACAAAAAAAAATGAATTTTATGTTTGCTTGATTTTGATATTTAATATAGAAAACGAAAATTAACCTCAAAGAGAGTGACGAAAGAGGCAGCCATCATCGCGAAACAGTCAGTGATGTCGAAGGTTGGGCTTCCCCATTGGAAAGGATATGGTATGTATATCCTATTGTGATTCGCATAAAGAGACAAAATTTTGAATATCGAAATATAGTGGAATCGCCACCCAAAAAAGAACATTCAAATAGAAGAACTGACCAAGGAGTGTTAGTGATAAGACCAGTACGGTCCGTACGGCAACTAGATTGAGTAGTTCGAGGCTTATCGTCATAAACACCACTCGTTGTGAGTAGCTGAGCAAACAGCCATATCAATGGAATACATATCATCATCCCATAACGATCGCTTCTTGATCCATCCCAATGCATCCCTTTCTTCATCTTCAGACATCGCGGTAAGTACTACAACCCACAGACAAACCAATAGACGTTAATAAAACATTTAGGTCTCCTTTATTTGTTTGTGTGTTGTGTTTTGTATTTATATGCGGTGTTGTTTGATGTGCCTATATATTAAGAGAACATATAGTTATTTATCCAAATAAAACCACAAACTTTTGTTATTTTAATTACAAAAGATTTACTAGTTCTAAATGCCATACTTAAAGTCAACTAAAGAGAAGAAAAAAAATTGTTACAGAGATATTTTTGTCAGAAAAATTTAAGAAAGTAAATTTTTATTTAAAGACAATTTTGCTTCTGAATGTAAAAATGCAGCCGCGGAAATTCGCGCTGGCAATGGCGCAACCTTAATTTTTGAGGTTATCTATATATGAAATTATCTATATGTTATTTTTATTTAATTATCTGTATTGATTTAAAACGAATAAAAAAGGAAGAAGCAATGGTTAGAGGTTTACCTGAGTGATAAAAACAAGTAGGATCAATCCAGGGAGTCCCACTTCAACGCAAGTCGCCAACTGGAAAACAAAATATTTTTTATATCATAAAGAAAAATATAAAATATTCACTAATCAACCAAAAAAACAAACATTTACATCGTAAATGAACTAATGAGAATCTTGAAACATACCAAAGGGAAACCGATCTGGTAGAGTCCTAATCCGGTAAATGTTGCCAAAGGAGCAATGGAGAGTGGGCTTAGAAACCTAATAACCACACGACCAAAAAAAAATTATGGTTGAGTCCAAATTCCGCTAAACAATCTAAATTAATTATTTACCTGATGATATTTCTCCACACGCCTAAGAAACACACAAGAACTTGGAAACAACCGGCGATAATCAGAGCCCCTTGTATGCTTCTCATTGTTCTCACAAACCTCTGATAAGTTATGTGATCAAACAGTTTTTCTTAGTAAAAATTTAGCTTGTAACATGATAGAGAAAATCAAAGTTAAAACTTACTTCAAAAGGATCAGTGTAATGGGTGAAGCGGTTTGAGGAAATAATAGAAGTGATAGGTATGATATAAGCATAAGACGCAGCAGCTATCACAGGCAATCGAGTTCCAAAGAAAGATTGGAACAATGTCGTCAATCCAGACACAAATAGTAATGTTTGCATAACTCTAGCCTTCTCTGCCTGAGGAAATGTCAGAATATAAACCAATATTTATCACATCGTAAGACATAATCTTCAATCTTATTCCATAAACACTAAAAATCCTTCATTATAAAACCATCAAACGAATAAATTATATTTCAAAATCATGATTCAAAAATCAAAATATGGAAGCGTAAGAAAATATATAAGTTTTAAACTTTCCCAAACTTCATATCTTAACAATAAAATTATTTGAAAAGAATACATCAAATCACACCGCATAATTAAGAAAAATGAAGCTTAGATCAAAACTTACGTCACCACCTCCCATGAGTGGAACTAAGAGACTTGGAATAAGAACTGTGATGCCAAGACTCAACAAATAATGCTCGAAACCCAACACTAAGGCTTCAACTGCAACACCAAAATAATATTTACACACAGGAGTTTAATTATAAACATAAACAAGCTAAATTTAAATAATAATTAAAAAAAAAACATACGCCAATAAGGAGGACTGTTGACACAATACTGAATCCCGGGGAGTTGTTCTTTCACCGGGTGGGGCTGTAAATCCACCGTCCTATTGCATCCTCCATCGTTGTTAGTGTTTCCGCCACCGCCGTTGCCGCCCCCATTTGCCATGGACGTTGTTACTTTTTGTCTCCTTTATTCAAAGTAATCAAATCAATAAAAAAGTATCATTTTTGTTATTTATTAGTGAAAATATTGTATCTACATTAAAAGAACATGTTTATCAATCTTTTTTCATTACATTCTCCTACGAGGCTAAAATGATCGCACACAACTTCAAAAAGAAAACAAAATCGTTAAAACAAAACAAATAGAAAAGACTTACTTTTAAGAAGGAATCCACACTAGAGGAAGATCGAAACAAGCTTTGTTTGGGAGGATCTAGTCGAGGGTTTGAGAGAATTTTAAAGAGGGGGAGAAGGAGGCGTAGAGTGAAGGAGAAGAAGTCAAAAAGGTTGGGTTTAATCTTTCCCCTACTATTATTTTTAAACAAAAACAGAATTTGAGTGATTAAATGAGTACATTTTATACAATTAATGTGGCCATAAAAGTCTTGATAGTGTCAGTTTTGATATATGAAATTTGAAATACAAATACGTTGATGTTTAATTGACCGTAGATCCAGAGATATTCATATATTCCTTTGCTTTAATTAATCTGAAAAAAAAGATAAAATAAATATTATTTATTATAATTTAAATATATATATTTTGAAATCAAAAGGAAATTTTGACTAATCAGAATTCGAGGCACTTTTCTATAATTTTCGGCATTGTCGTATAATAAAACTGAAGAAATAAATGTCAGATAGGTTTGAAATCTCTCCCAAGTAACAGTTACCTTCTCAATAATAGTAGGGGAAAGATTAAACCAAGTACAAAAAAATATTTGCAGAATGATATACCCCGCGTCCTAATTCTCCCGGTTTACCTTTTTTATTTGTTTTCGCCATCATTTTTTTTCTTTTTCTTCTAATTCCCTGGCCCTTGAAACAAATCTACTAGATTAAAGGGAGACGTCAAAAGAAAAAGAAAAAAAAAAAAGAAGAAGAAGAGGCTGTGCAGGAACAGAAACAAACATGAGTTTGGCTACAACGTCGCTGCTTTTCTGTTTTTTCTTCTTATTCCATTGTCCATGTAACCTTCTTTCCGTAGATTCACGATCTTTACGTTTAGCCTCCGTTAATACGAGTCATGTTTCCTCGATCTCCAAGCTAGAAGGTATTGCGTACGGAGAAAAGACGCCGGAGTTAGCAGTCTTTATCAGAAAAGGCGGTGGTGGTAAGGGAGGAGGTAGGACCGGCTTACTGGAGGACAATCGGTGCAACTGCCCCAGGTCCACTTCCCAAATCAAGTAAAATTAAAATAATAATGAGGCCCAAATTTGTATGTTTCATTAATTATTAGGAGCTTAAATTTGTGTTTTTATCAATAAAAATCCTTATTTTTTTTTTTTTGCCCAAAGACCATTAAGAGTATTGAGCCGGCCCTAAGAAGAGGTGAACGCGGTGGTCGTAGTGGTGCCCACACCACAAGCGGAAAACGAGATCGTCTAAGGCAATCTCGCGGCGGGCTAGGCGGGTATCCATATTACGTGGCTGGGTCACACCACCATGCTGGTTCAACCGCTAGCCGGAATCTTGGATGGACAGGTTTCGGTTGGTTGGGCTTATCGGTCTCGGCTGGATTATTTTGGGTTTCTTAGGGTTAAGAATTTGTTAGACTTATAATCTTAGGAATGTTACTACTATGATGGAGCATTTTAATTGATTTTTTAATAGTCTTATGTTTTGGCTTACTTATGTCAACTGGTTTCTTTTCCAATGGTTTAGAATAAAAAAATATTTAAAAGTTGATTAGAGTATTGCCCTTTAATAAAAGGTTATCACTTTAAAAGTTTCTAATCAAATGATAAACTGCTAATAAATTCAAAAATGTTATATTTTGGTTAATCCCAAATTATTTTAAGGGTTCAAAATCTGACTAGGGTATTGTCTAGCTTTAATAAAAGGTTATCTTATGTAGCCACGTTATGGTAATGCAAAGATCTTATTTAGTTACCTAATTCTATAACTTTTAACACTGAACCCAACGATGATTTTTATAAAACTAGAATAAAAGCTTACTTTATCTTAAGCATCTTAATAAAATATCAATCTATGACCAGAACAGTAAAGCAAATCATAGACCTGTGAGACCAAAATCTAGTTCTATTGAGACCAATCCAAGTCCATATCAATCCGATTGGGGAAAAACAGATAATTCGAGAGAAACACTCAAACACACCTGAAACAGGCTGCAATAGTTTTAGTCATTTTCTTTCTTCCTCTCCAAGGAAACCTCATCAAGTACCATCAGCGTTTGCTTTTCTTACCTAAAGGCCTAGTCTACAGCATAAAGAGGAAAAAGAAGATGGATACAACAAACAAGCTTATGAAATCATAATTAGCTCATAAGTTAGGTAAATGTAAAGCTACTATTCAACTTTTAAGTTGTGTAAATGAACAGTTGTTAGACTAGTTTAAAACAATCGTCTTCCTCTCACTTCTCTCTTGTGTTCAAGCTTCAAACTTCAAATGGTCAGCAATTTGAGGATCCAATCGATCCATCCTTCTACCTATACTCTTCATCGTTTTCTCTATAATTGCTTTTTTGTTGTTGTTGATAAAGTCTATAATTGTTATAGGGTTTCTCTTCATGTGGTGCTTCAATAAGAGGTACCGAAAAGGTAACAAGACACTCCAAATCTAGCCGGGTAGCATCAAGGTGGCCTGAGTAAGCTAAGGATCGCAAGAGACGGTTAGGATTATGGGTGGAAAATTAAGCGGTTTACTATTGGTTAATAGTTTATATGCGTGCCTAAAGCTGCTCTCGATTATTCCAAATTATCTTCGTTGATTTTATTTTGGAAAAAAAATATAAGGAAAAATTACGTAAAATATAAGCAAACTCTGCGAAAATATAAGAAAAAAATAAGGAAAATATATAAACGAAGCAAAAATAGATGATTAAATATCTTTGATGAAATGATTTTATTTGTTGAAAAACTCGAGTTTATATTAGACTAAACAACCGTTCTAATTCTAATTAGAAAGCAAAACTGAATAAAGAAAAGTGACAAAACTAAATCTCCATTGCTCAAATCTCAGAAGTATATTGACTTGTTGAGTAAACGTTTTGGCAAAAGAAGCTAATTTACGAGAGAAAAAAAACGTATAATTTTTTAATTTTTACTTCAAAAGTTTTTCGACCCATTAGGCAAAAAAATTACCATCAAATTGATTCAAGTTTAACATGCTGATGTTGACGTGTCATGGAGTTTTTAATTAGCTGTTATTGTTAAACAGTTGGAATCATGGGTGGAGAAATACGCGGTTTACTATTAGTTAATTGTTTTTATGCCTAAACCAGTATTGCAATTGCAAAACAAAATGTTGCCAATAAGATTCTGACACCTCAGCATTACAAGTCCATCCCTTTCGTTTCTCCCAACGATTCCTCTGTCTTTGATTTTTTGAATTTCTTCCCTCTCTCTCTAGAATTTCCTAAAATATTCCTCGGTTTTAGAGAGAAAGAGGCAACGCACCGTCGCCGGATTCCTGAGCTCTCCAGGTATGTCGAAGACGATTCAATGCATGTTTAGAAGCTAAAAGTTTCCCTCTACGCTCAGAGATTATGCGGTTTTAGGTTTTGTCTATTCTATTTTCAGTATTGTCCGAAATCTGGAAGATGTTTGATTCTTTCTTCCTTAGGGTCCTATTCTTATTCTGAATTTGTTTCTGAAAAAGCAATGAATTAATTTTTTGTGTTATAAACTGAATTGATGCAGCAATGGAGAGTGAAGGAGGAGGTCCATTTCAGGGAATACTCCGAGATATCGAAGGTAGACGCAAATGCTACAAACAAGATTGGGTTCTTGGCATTAAAAACGGTTTAAGGTAACGCTTAAAATTGTCTCAAAATCTCAAATTTAATCTTCTCTGTTTAAATGTTTATTGACGTTTAAAATATTGTACCCAAGTCAAGTTTTGTTATGTTTTTTTTCACCAGAATTTTGGCTCCAACTTGCTACATTTTCTTTGCCTCGGCTCTTCCCGTAGTTGCCTTTGGCGAGCAATTAAGTAAACATACAGGTACTATCATAATTATATCTTCCCATGTTTTGCTAATTAAGAAATATCTCCCTAAGAATTTAATTACCACTAATGATTTCTATTCAACTCGTTGTTAAAAGGAGGAGCTCTGAGTGCAGTGGAAACATTAGCTTCTACTTCGATCTGCGGGATCATACACTCGATTTTTGGTGGACAGCCATTGTTGATACTTGGTGTTGCAGAGCCAACCATCATAATGTATACTTATCTTTATAGTTTCTGCCTTAGTAGACCGGATATTGGTCGGGAGCTTTACCTGGCTTGGACGGCATGGTAATGACAACAACAAATATACAATCTTGTTGCTTAATGTATCTGTTTTCTGAAAGTTTTTTTTGTGTGCTAATATCTGCAGGGTTTGTGTATGGACTGCAGTTTTGCTTATCCTTCTTTCGATATTTAACGCGTGCAAAATCATCACGAGGTTTACTAGAATCGCTGGGGAACTCTTTGGCATGTTGATTGCTGTTCTTTTTTTACAAGAAGCTATCAAGGTACACTGTACAAGCAAGTCCATTGTCCCAGGTTAGGTTAATTAGCCATATATATGTTACAGTTTTAACATGCTTAGTTATACATATGCAGGGATTGATTAGCGAGTTTCATGCATCCGAGAGTGATGAAAGACCTGAATCAGGAGAGTCACATTTCCTCTCGCTGTACACAAATGGGTTGCTTGCGGTGATTTTCTCGCTAGGCCTTGTGATCACAGCGCTAAAGAGCAGGAGAGCGAAATCTTGGAAATACGGGTTTGGTACGTCATTGTCTATTTACATTGTAATACCTTAAGGTGTGTGTGTGTGTGTGTATACTCACTTAGACCACTAAAAATACAACAGGATGGCTTCGGAGTTTCATTGGAGATTACGGTGTTCCCTTAATGGTCTTGCTCTGGACTGCATTGTCTTACTTGATTCCTAGCAAAGTCCCCCCAAGTGTTCCTCGAAGACTGTTTTGTCCTCTTCCATGGGAGCCAGCTTCATTATACCATTGGACTGTAATCAAGGTAAGAGATATCAAACTGCTGCTACTACCATTAATCAAAATGCTAAACAGAATTAAGCAAAACTTATTATGTACAGGACATGGGGAAGGTACCAGTAATGTATATCTTTGCTGCGTTTATACCTGCTGTGATGATAGCTGGACTTTACTTCTTCGACCATAGTGTAGCTTCACAAATGGCACAGCAGAAAGAGTTTAATCTTAAGAACCCTTCTGCTTACCACTACGACATCTTCTTGCTCGGAATTATGGTGTGTTTTTGACCACTACGTTCTTAAAACTGATTTCAAATATTATTTTTTCATGGTATAAGAGAAAAGTTTGAGATCTTGTTGTTCTGGTGGATTTATTATAGACTTTGATATGTGGACTACTTGGACTTCCTCCTTCAAACGGTGTTATTCCTCAGGCTCCAATGCACACAAAGAGTCTTGCGGTTCTCAATCGACAGGTAAGATCATAATATATGAGAAGAAGAAAGTGTTAAAACAGAGATGAGATATATTGAATTTCACTTTTTTTCTTGCAGCTGACACGCAAGAAAATGGTGAAGAGTGCAAAGGAGTGTATGAAGATGAAAGCCAGCAAATCAGAAATATATGGGAGAATGCAAACAGTGTTTATAGAGATGGAGACATGTTCACCTCAGGTTGGTTAATCATGGTCTCTCCCTATATCTATATAGAATAATCCGCTGCAAGAAAAAACATTTGGAGATAAAAAAAGAAAGTCTAAAACTTTATTGCAGCTCTGTTCAGTAGCGGATTTAAAAGACTTGAAAGAAGTTGTGATGAGACCGGACGAAGGAGGAGATACAAAAGGAAAATTCGATCCCGATGTTCATATTGAAGCTCACTTGCCGGTTAGAGTAAACGAGCAAAGAGTGAGCAATCTGTTGCAATCTGTGCTAGTGGGTTTAACACTACTTGCTGTGCCAGTCATCAAGATGATCCCAAGTTCTGTTCTTTGGGGTTACTTCGCTTACATGGCGATAGACAGTCTTCCCGGAAACCAGTTCTTTGAGAGATTGTTGCTTCTCTTCATCCCTCCAAGCCGGCTCTTCAAGTTAGTTTTTTTTTATAGTTAATTTGCAGATAGAGAGAGAAAGGTTTCTCAATCATTGGTTTGCTTGTAATGCACGCAGAGTCTTGCAAGGAGCACACGCTTCGTTTGTGGAGTTGGTACCATACAGTGTGATTGTGACATTCACACTTTTCCAGTTTGTTTATTTCCTCTTGTGCTATGGCATGACATGGATTCCGGTGGCCGGTATATTCTTCCCGGCGCTCTTCTTTCTACTGATAAGTATAAGAGAACACTTGCTCCCCAAGCTATTCGATCTCCAACACCTTCAAGTGTTAGATGCTTCTGACTATGAAGAAATAGTGGCAGCACCTGTACAACAATCAAGTTTCGCATACCGAGTAAAAATTTCTCTAATCTTAAATGAGTTCTTTTTTTTTTTTTAGTAATGAGGTTTATGTGAACAAAGTGTGTGATAACTTTTAAAATCATTTCGGTGAGCAGAAACTGGGATCTTCTCGTCATTTATCAGAAGGTGAAGGTGAAGATGAGTTCTACGACGCAGAGATATTGGACGAGATGACTACTAGTAGAGGCGAAATCAGGATCCGAACCATAAGTTTCAAGGAGGTAATAAAAAAAAATCTTTCATATCTATTTCCTCACTTTTTTTTTTTTCCGGGTTTGGTTTTACCTAATCCATGAAAACATTTCTGTTTCAGATGCACACGGAGCCTGAAGAGAGGCGTGTAACCTTTGAACCACACTGAAAAAAACACAATTGTTTGCACTTGTTGTTGTATACAAAAATGTAACAGCGCATATGCATATACATCGACTATGTTAATGTTATAAGTGTATTTTAGTGGAAATGTGATTTCAGCAAATTATAAGCTTTAGTTTGTCTTCAAATCTTGGCGATTGTATACAAATTATCCAGCACTTGTTGCATGGATGGTCTCGTTTCTCGGGGGTCTTCCTCTTTTTTCATTTTTGATAAGTCAACGTAATCGCGTTGAAAAGTCACGAAGTGGGGTCCACATCTCTTTCTCGACAAACTCCGTGGGCGAGCAATACGACACCGTTTAGTCAGATGTCTCTCGATTCTTCTTCTTCGTTCGCTCCCGGGTAAAAAAGTATATACAACTAGCGTAAGTAGCTGCATCGCATCACAATCGCATTTCGACGTAGTGAAGAAGAAGATATGGCGTCGTTTCTCCAGAGTTTAGTAGATCCGAGGAAGAACTTTTTGGCTCGCCTGCACATGAAGTCCGTCTCTAACCGCCTCCGCAAATACGGTATACTCTCTCTCTCTTTCTCTCTCTCTCTGGAGCGAATTCCTCTGTTAATTTTTTTCCCCTGATTTTTGAATATGCGAAATTTAGGTCTCAGATACGACGATCTCTACGATCCGTTGTACGATTTGGACATTAAGGAGGCGCTTAATCGGTTGCCCAGAGAGGTTGTTGATGCTCGGAACCAGCGTCTTAAGCGTGCAATGGACCTATCCATGAAGCACGAGTACCTCCCAGATAATCTTCAGGTATGTCTTCAAACTGAGTGAGGCAGAGCTAAGAGATAGCTATGGAGTTTCGAATTCGATCCGTTGATAGTTTGAACTTCTCTGGTTGCCATGTAGTGATTGACTAAGCTGATTTCTCTGGATCTATCATGTGTAATCAATCAATGCTTGCAGAGATATGGTGGAGATGGTGTCTACAGATTTCAATTACTTTGCAGATGCTATTTTATAGTTTCATTTGTGTTGTTCCATACTTCCATGCCTAGTCTTGAGCGATAAATGTTTTCTAAAGCAATATCTAAGTGTAGGTAATTTTAGATCATTGGTAATTTCCCGTATCCAGGTTCAGTAGATCTTGAGATTGGAGTAAAGACTTGTATTGGGATCAAGAACATTCTGTGTGTTTAGAGAGATCTTTTTTTTAACAGCCTTGCATATAACAAGCCTTTTGGTTCCTAAGTATAGTCTTTAGAGCAGAAGCGTAACCTCTGATAAGCTTTTTTGTAAAGATATTGTATCACGTTTGTATTTTATGTACCATACCACAGGCTGCAACAGATGACATTCCTCATGACTGAGGAAAGCTTGCCAAAACTAGTACAGCTTCTTCCGCCTTTTCCATGAAAGAAACGTTTGTGTTATGTTTGCTTTTAACTGTGACATACAAGCTTATGCAAACTTTTTCTCTTTTCATTGTCTTTGTAATTTTACAGGCACTGCAGACACCGTTCAGGAGCTACCTCCAAGAAATGCTGGCTCTTGTAAGTCCCAAGCAAACGAAACCCAGGATTAAGCCAACTTTGTTTCTTTCCTGCAAACCATCATATGCTGCTTTTATCTGCACAAATATTCATATACATATCTTCTGCTGCTTGATTATAATGATTTCAAAAAGTGAAAAGTTTTCTCCATCCACTTCAAGAAAAAGTGTGGTTTTCTGAATCTTGTTGTGTTAGAGGAATCTTGTAGCAAAGTTCTTACACGGGGCCTTCGTGTGCAGGTGAAGCGGGAGAGAGCTGAGCGAGAGGCTTTGGGAGCTCTACCTCTCTACCAAAGAACCATTCCTTAAGCATGTTAGTCTCTCTTGTAGTATACATAAAAGGCAGCTGAACAAAACAGATCCTAATCCTATATCTTCTTCCTGTTTTATTACTCTTTAGGGCTTCATTCTACCACACAATTTGCCTTGTATGGTTATTATGTACGGTTCTTGTAAACACTGTATTTGTGTTATAAGATTGTATGATATTAATGTGTAATGAAAAGCTTTGATTGGGCAATGGATTGCAGGAGGGGAGAGTCTTGGTACAACAATAAAAAGAAGGTTAGGTGCTCATGTTTACAAAGTTCCTCAAAAATGCCATTTTAAACATTTTTTACATGAATCATGTACAGCGATGCTTTGCACGGGTTCTGGTTGATAATATAAGTCTGAGGTAGATAAGAAAGAATAAGATGAGGTGTTATATTTAATAGAGTGGCCAGTAGAAAACGATATGGATTTTGATTTGAAGACATGTCCATGTGAGTCGCATTAAGCACAGGAGGGACGGGCCTAAATCATTAATACTTAACAATAAAAAAGAAGAAAAATGATGAATTAAATGTGAGTAATTGCTTCCTAGTCTTTTTTTCTCACTTGCCAACTATTGTTGATTTTGATTATTGCTTTTGCAATTTGCGTTCTGCGTCACTTGATTGATTCTGAATGCTTATTGATATAACTAGATATTTATCCGCATATTTATCCGCGTTATGCTGTAGGATATTTTTCTAGATTTGTATATATTTTTAATATAATAAAATTATTTTACTATAATATAAATAAGTATTATATTTATTTTTTATTAGCTTAAGTTATGTATTTATATGTTTTAAATCCAAATAAATATTATATATCATTAATCTTTTTATTTTTTAAAATTATAATTTACTATCAAATTTGTTTAGCTAACTATCTGTAAATGTATATGTAAGAATAAAACAATACAATTTTAAGTACATTCATGCTAATAGTAAATATAATTTATTTTCTCTACTAAATTGCTACTTGATCCTCTTTTTAAATTATATAAAGCAAATTATCATTTAAAAAAATATTAATTATAAAATTTATTTATTTATCAAATTTTTATTATAAACATATGTTTCTAAAACTAAAAAACTATAATCAATAACATTCATATCAAAATCATTACTATGACTTTAGAACTAAATAGCAAGTTCTATTTGAACTGTTGAAATATCAATTTACTTGAAGTTAAATAATTCAATTTTGGTTACTATAAACATATTGTAACTTGAAAACTTAGTACAAAGAAATTTTATCTGTTTACAAAAACCGAGAAATTGTATTTTCTGACAAAACAAAAAAATTTTATTTTCCCATGAAACTGAGAAATGGCATATTCCCGCCAAAACAAAAAAAAATTTATTTTCTCGTCAAACCTGAAATTTCATTTTCCTACTAAAACAAAGAAATTGTATTTTTCCTCAAAAACAAAAAAATCACATTTTCCCGCGAGAACCTGTGTTTTCCCGTCAAAACAGAGAAATCAAGTTTTTTCATAAAAACCAAAAAATTTCATTTTCTTACAAAAACAAAAAAAAAATAGTATTTTCCCATCAAAACCAAAAAAATTATTTTTCCACAAAAATAGAGAAATCGTCTATTTCTACCAAAACGAGAAAAAATTAATTTTCTCGTCAAATCCAGAATCACACCTTCCTATCAAAACCGATAAAATACAATTTCCCGTGAAAACCAAAAATTGCATTATCTCCTGAAAAATTGTGTTTTTCGCGAAAACTAAGAAATCATATTTTCCTTCGAAAACCAAAAAATCAAATTATATGTCAAAAACTGAAAATTTGTATTTCCCATCAAAACCAAGAAATTGTTTATTTCCACCCAAAGTCGAGAAATTTTGTTTTTCTATCAACCCGAGAAATTGTATTTTCTGCCAAAATTGTCAAATTACAATTTTTCACGAAAATCAAGAAATTACATTATTCATCAAAAGCCAAAAAATTGTATTTTTTATCAAAACCGAAAAATCGTATTTTTCGTCAAAATTGAAAAGTTGCATTTCCCTCGTATTTTCTTGTCAAAATCAAATTTTTTTTTTCTCACCAAAACCAAAAATTTACATTTTTCCGTCAAACCCGAGAATTCGTTTTTTTCCGCCATAACCGAGAAATTATGTTTTCTTACCAAACTGAAAATCACATTTTTCTACCAAAACCAAGAAATTCTCTATTCCTGCCAAACCCAAGAAAATTTGTTCTCAGTAACCACTGAAAATGCGAATCTCCAAGTTGTGGTGGCCTGAGTTTCTCCTCATTTGCTTTCGACCTCCATTTTTTTTGTAAACTTTGTGCTTTTTAATGGATCAGCAAAATAGTAAACTGATTTTAATTAGTGTGTTAATAATGTGTATTATTGTTATGTTTGTATTAGTTCAAATTTTTGCTGATGTGTGAGCTTCTTATAACATAACGCTTTTTGCATTGTTGTTATGGAAGTATAGTTGATGATGAGTCTACACTTTCTTCAATCATATACGTCTCTATCAAGCAAACACATAGTTAAAAATTTTAATTTTTTTTGCTCTTATTTATTATTTGAGTTTCGGTTTGGCAAAAATATAAAACAAAGATTTAATTTTATTATTTTTTGTTATTTATTATTTGGGTTTGGCAAAAAATAAAACAATTTTTTTTTGTTGTTAGTTATTATTTGGGCTTGGGTTTGACCAAAAAATAAAACTAAAATTAATAATAAAAAATATTTAGGTTTTTAATGGGTTTTAATTTAAAAGTTAAAATAAATTGATGATTTGTATTAATAAAATGTTTTTATTGGTGATTCTTTTTGCTGAAGTGTCATCTCCTAAAAACTTGAAAATGCTGATGTGTCAAGCTATGGAGAGACACTTGTGTTATTGTTGTGTTGATTTGAGCGGGAGTTGGTGCCTCTATTTCAAATTTAGACTGGCCAGCGAAGATTTTACCAATGATTCAAAAATTTAATTACGTGTTTGGTTTTGAACTACACAATTTCTAGTTCATATACCTAATACTGCATAATTTCTGTGAATATAACAAACAAATATTTTTGTCTTTACTATAATTAACATAAATATAATTACTAAAAGGTTGCCGATAGGCTTTTTGTATATAATTTAGGCAAAGTGATGAGAGGCTCATGGGCCCGTAAAAGAGTAAAAGAAGTGTACAAGGAGGAGGAGACAAAGGCATGATCCTGCCTTTTGCGCTCTCTTCTCACCCTCTCTCTCTATCTTTTTTTTAAACATGGGTCCCATCCGTTCGTTACCCAATGTCCCTACCCACGTTTCCGACAGTTTCTCGTCTTTTTGTTTTGTTTCGTTTTGCGCTCTTTTTCTCCATCGTAGTATTATTTATTCTTCAGATTCAACATTTTAAAATAGTGATCGTAGTTTGTTAGAATTATTATGAATCTCTTCAAGTCCTAATCAATATTTTTATTGATTTATAATAGAATAATGCCCCGAATGGTTACAATCTAATAATAGACAATCCGCCAGTTTTCATAGGATAAGAAATGCATGCCTAATAATAGACGTTAAAAACACACACACACACCGAGTTTTTCAATGGTGAAAGTGGCTTACATATGATTTAAGTACATCTGTGTAGCTGCCAATAAGGTTAGGTTAGGAGACATCTAAATTAATTAATACGACGTGGTTAATGTTAAATTGATTTTGGATAATTTAGAGAAAAAAGTATACAAATCCTTTGGAAAATGAAAATACTAGAGAGTAAAACGCTAAAATCAGCTGTCCTTTCTTGGGCTGATAAAGATGATAAGAAGAGGTGCAATTCTGAATTTCTGAGGCCACTTCTCTGGTTCCGGCCGACTTTGCAAACCGCATTCTTAGCCAGTAGTGAACGGTGCCCTTCATAACACATTTCTCATTTCTGATTTCTATTATTAAAATTACAAATACAGCCAAGAAACAAACAAAAATAAAAACGCACGAAAAGACAAAAAAAAAAAAGTGTTTATAAAATGGCTAGAAAAAAGGAGATAAAACTCTTTGAGCTATTTTGTTGGTGTTGTGTGTAACACATGCCATGCCACGATAAACGATTCTCCTCGTAGTATCTCCACCGAAATTCTAATCAAAACGACATAATTGGCCTTCCACAGTTACTATCTTAATTAATCAGATAATGTCACCTAGATTCAGATGTATGATTACTAAAATCATTTTCACAATCTTAGACTTGAAGTGTTTACATGTGTTAATGGCATGTGTTCTATATATAGTTACGTTTTAGTATCTTTTTTTTCTTTCTCGTTGTGGTCTTCGGTCTTCCCCAGTCACCGCCTCACCGAGATATGACTATATATAAACACTACTTATAAATATTAAATAATAGCATGAAGCTAAATTTGTATTAATTTTAAAATTAGTAAATTACACACAGTGTTTGTAAGGTTCCAAATCTATGGAAAGGAGTGACGTGACGACCCCACGTGGGATACGCGAACCACAGTGGCACACATTCGTAATAAATAGCAACCTCCAAGGGCACTTTCATAGTTCCAGCTCCTTATAAGCAATTGCCCCCAAGTCTCTTTGTTAATTACTTTTTACACTAAACACTTATCTCTCTTCTCTCCAGAAGCTCCATTACAATGGGAGGCGTCACCGTCGTGTCCCTCTTCCTTCTTCTCATCGCCACCGCTGATTCTGCCGCCGTCTACTTCCGTGACGGTAAGCTCTCTTACACCTAAACATACACAATTATCCCAACACCATACTCCAATATAGAATCACCCATTACATATTGCATTTTTTTTCTTCCCCCCTAGTTCAGATTTTTGAAGAAAAAAACTCGAATTCTTTCTCCACTTATTGTTATCCTATCTTCTGAACCTTTGAATTCAGTAAATTATGGTTATCTCCTTAGTCAGATTTCTTGATTTTAGTTTTAACAAATTTTTTGAGAATCAAGTGGGAGAAACCAAATTCATTCTTAAATGAACCAACTGAATAAAAAGGACTCAAAACTTGTCATTATTTGTCAGAATGGTTATGACTGAGCATATTTAGTACTTGCCTCTGTTGCAATAGTAGTACTGAAGCGAATTTGAATTATAGATATTTCAGATGTTAGAATGACAATTTTACCCCGTTTCTGACACAAACTTACCGCAATAAAGTTTTTGGACATTTCCAATCAATGAAGTTGAGTGGGTCCATTAGGAAAGCTAATCCATGTTAAAACAGGCCCAGTTAGGCTGTCTCTCGGACACCCCTCACGTGCCTATTACTTTTTAAGTTTTAACAATTTTTTTAAATAGGATATCAATTCCCCTAATATGCTGAGGGCAATTTGGTACTTTCAAACAGGGATGTTACCGAACGGCGACTTCGAGCTAGGACCAAAACCATCGGACATGAAAGGAACCGAAGTGTTGAACAAAATGGCAATCCCAAACTGGGAAGTCACAGGATTCGTCGAGTACATAGGCTCAGGACAGAAACAAGGAGACATGCTTCTCGTTGTTCCCGCCGGAAAATTCGCAGTGAGGCTAGGAAACGAAGCATCGATCAAACAAAGACTCAAAGTGGTGAAAGGAATGTACTACTCGCTCACTTTCAGTGCCGCGAGAACTTGCGCCCAAGACGAACGGCTCAACATCTCGGTGGCGCCTGATTCGGGGGTGATTCCGGTACAGACGGTGTACAGTAGCAGTGGGTGGGATCTATACGCGTGGGCGTTTCAGGCGGAGAGTGAGATCGCAGATATAGTGATTCATAATCCAGGCGAAGAAGAGGATCCAGCTTGTGGACCACTCATTGATGGTATTGCCATGAGAGCTCTTTACCCTCCCCGACCAACCAACAGTAAGTACAATTATATACTCTGTTTCTCTTTTAAGTTCCTGAACATGTGATGTTGTGAAATTATTGGGGTTGGGTTTAAAAATCTTACCGAAATTCACCTAATTGGGAATTGGACCAAATTTGTTTTACATCCAGATTCGAATTTAATGCAACCCAAACCGAATAAAACGAAATTTAATCCAACCAAATTCGGTTTAATCAGATTTTGGTTTCGTGTTAAGATTGGTTCAGATTCGGTTTCAAAGTTTCCAACCATGTGAAGATTGACTTTGGTTTAGCATTTCGTTTTTGTCACCGAATTGAGATTGGTTTATCATAGTTTAATGATTTCTAAATGATGATTTTGTCTATGTTTGATATGACAGAGAACATTTTGAAAAACGGAGGATTTGAAGAAGGTCCATTAGTACTACCAGGCGCGACCACAGGAGTTCTGATCCCACCGTTCATAGAAGACGACCACTCTCCTTTACCCGGTTGGATGGTCGAGTCTCTCAAAGCCGTCAAGTACGTAGACACCGAGCACTTCTCAGTCCCACAGGGTCGCCGAGCCATCGAGCTAGTGGCCGGCAAAGAGAGCGCCATCGCTCAAGTGGCTCGGACCATCATTGGCAAGACTTACGTCCTGTCTTTTGCGGTTGGAGACGCCAACAACGCTTGCAAAGGATCAATGGTGGTTGAGGCTTTTGCAGGGAGAGATACACTTAAGGTCCCTTACGAGTCGCGTGGCACGGGAGGGTTCAAACGAGCTTCTATCCGGTTTGTGGCGGTTTCGACCCGAACCAGAGTAATGTTTTACAGCACTTTCTATGCTATGAGGAGCGATGATTTCTCGTCTTTATGTGGCCCTGTGATTGACGACGTCAAGCTTATAAGCGTTCGCAAGCCGTAGAAGAAGAATGAACCTTACAAATACAATTACAAAAAATCAAGTGTGTGGGCTTTAATTTTTAATTATTTGTCTTTTGGTGTGTTTTTGAATCTATTTCAAAAGAGAGAGGTTTATTTTCGCGGTAGGAGTTATTATATAGGCAGATGAGCCTTGCTTATATGGTATTTTCTTGTATGAGAAGGCAAAAGAGACTTTGCCGTTTTCTTATGTATTTAGGCCTTTTACGTTTTATGGAGACTTCTTTACAAATACAAGAATAAAAAAGTAACGAGATGATTGTGTTACTTTTAGAGTCTTAGTAAGATGACTTTCGAAGTAGAAAGTTATCCAACGAGTAAGTAAACTATTCTCCAAATTGCACCAAACCAAATATAAAAGGGTCACATTTAGCAATAAAATAGTAAGTTTGGTGAACAATAAGTTCAGAAAGCTAACTCATAGGAAGGAGACTAGAGAGGACTCAGGTCTCTCTTCTTCATTCATCGACCAAATGCACTCTAACAGCCGTAACCACACCTCCTGAGCGTTCAAGTTCGCAAACCACACTGTCTCCTTCTTTAAGATTGTACTTCCGACATACAGACGCCCAGGCATTGAAACAAGGGCTACGACCGTAGATCTTTGTGACAGCCTCGTGTTTTTCTTTGCCAACAAGGTAATACATGGTGGAACCATGCGGACCAAACTTCAAGTCATACTTGTCAATCACCTGACGGCTCACATACTACTTGCACAATCATGGAAAATTAGGGAAAAGACAAGTCTTAGCTGAAAATTTTGTGAATAGATCGTATCTATCTTAAAAATGGAGTAGCTGCTATTATTACCAGAACGTCGATCTTTTTCGTCAGCGTCTTCACAAAGTAAGGATTTTTGGGATCTAAGAGGTATCGCTCAGGGTTTGTGACAGGAGTACAACCCTGTCTTGCTCCATTTGCTGAAATATTCGCCGAAACTGAAAAGAAAAAGAATCAAACTTAGAAGAAAAAAACAGTTTTGGGATTGAGAAAACACAGAAGAAGAAAACACATAAGATGAATGGTCTAACCAGAGGTAGAGGCAGAGGCAGAGGCAGAGGCAGAGTCAGAGGCAGAGGCAGGAGCTTCCTGGTGAGGATTCTGGGGCTTACGGTTAAGCATCTCAGCTTCGGGATCAGCTTTAAGAGGTGCTGAGGTGATCTCTTTCATGAGTTGCAAATCTTTTTTATAGATTCGCACTTTAAGATCCATCGCGTCTTCGTGCGTGAAGAACAAAACATCATGCGGACCTAAGACGTTGTCATCCACAAACTCATCCCAATCTTCTTCATTCATAACCAGATCTTTCTCGTCTTGCTGGAGCCAGAGTTGCCAGGAATTGCCCCAACGAACACTAAACACCAGTCTGTGCTCAAAAGCCCCAGGCGTGCTTCTCACAAACTCTTCTGGGATAATCCTCTTCATAAACCCAAAAAAATCAGAACAGTTCACAACAACAAACAATACTGGCATTAGAAGAGGAAACATGAGAGTAAAAAGCTATAGCTTTCCAAAGCAAAACACAAGCTCAAAAGCTTGGTTTGTAGAATAAGCAATGCCAGAGAAAAGATATGACAAAGGCTAAAAACCAACACTAGCAGAGACCTGCGATGTAAAGGTAGCCATAACAGGAGAGAAAAACAGGTCAAAAAATTGACAACAAAAAAAGTTCAGCTAAAAAAGGCAAAAAGCAGAACAAAAAGGAGGAGGCATTGTGCCACAATCCTATATCTATCCTCAAAACTTTTCTTGAAAGATGGAAATATCTGAGCTCTTTCGAACAACAACTAATGAATAGTACTACAGTAACTAAAACTGTATATAAAAGGGTGTAAACATAAACATGAAAGGATATTAGGTCTTACTGTTCTAGAAACAACATTGAAAGCAAATAGAAGAAGCAATTCAACAGAGTACATGTTTAAGCTAAAAGTAACTCAATGGACATAGTCGAAGACCAGTGAGCAAAAACCAGAGCAGGTCTATCTTTGAGGAAACTGAGATTAATATTAAGTTACCATGGATTTAGATTTCCAATTTTCTCCCAAAGGCAGAGACTTCCAGAAGCTAGGCTTGCTCACATCTTCATGGAGCTTACCAAAAATACCATTGGTCGGCATTTTCTCAGTTTTTTCTTCAGCTTCGAAGCGGGATCTGTCCTGAAATTGTAAGTGAAGCCGAAGATGACTTGCAAGCGTTAATATAATCAAAGCCACAGAAAAGTGGAAATAGATAATGCAAATGCGTTATTTCGCCTTTCTCACTTAACCTCACCGATTCTGTCTTTTTCGATTGCTAAAAACCCTAAGCGTTACAAAAGCAAGCAATGTGTACGGACAATGTGGAGGTTGGGGATTAGAGTTTTTGTATTTTAAGAAAAAAAAACAAAGAAATGCGTAAAATGCAAGTAATTGCTTTAAAGTAACGTCGCCAGAGACCTAGAATGCACGCACCGTCACTGTAGAAGAAGCTTCCTCTTGCTGCGGCTTGCTCCTCTCTCTAATGTCCGTTCAAGTCTCTCTGCCTAAGGTGAGAGAGAGAGAGAGAGAGAGAGAGAGAGAGAGAGAGAGAGAGCGTAACGCATGACAATTGTACTATCACTTTGACTCGTACGGAACAAGTTGTTCAAACACTTTCACTGGGCCGGATAAGGCCCATCCTAAAACTGGGCCATAATATTAGTGTAGAATAATAATCGAGATGTCATTCATCATCAGTAAAACTAAGCCCATGTGTGTCTATACCACTACATCAAAGGACAAGGAGGTAACAGTCAGAGAGACAAATTCTATTCAGCAAGCAGGTTAATGATACAAAACAGATGCATGGTTATGCCATGTCGCGAAAAAACGTAATGAGGCAAAGACCGGACCATAATTGGTCTCGTCACTTTGCTGCTTCCTTCACCGCAGTCAAGAGGGAGAAGAACCCAATAGATACCGAAGCAGAGGAGCCACGACTGCTACACTTAAACTGTTTCCAAGCATTGCGTATCTGCACAAAAAAGAGTAGTTCATGAGTTTTAACATATTCACAATTTCAAGATTGTGCCTTTTTCTAACATATTCACAATGTCAAGAAGTGCTTCAACTATTTCAACATTTCAAACACTTAAGTAGTGAGAAATAAGCGTTTTTCTAATTTTTTAATGGTGTTTACGGTATGAAACAGCGTACCTCTGCCTAAGGCTTATCTGCTTGGGGAACTCAAAATCTTCAGGGAACGAGTGAAAGTTAGCTACCTAATCAAATGGAAACCGAACATCAGCTTTCACTTAAATAAAGCTGATCCCTTTTTTCAGTGAGGCATTTGGTAGTCAAAATAAAGGACTGTGCTTAACCTCTCTCGGGGTGAAGTATCTAAGCCGTTGCTCTTTCAAACAAGATTCCTTCCCCTTGATTTTCGGCTGCGTGATCACAGATTCAAGATAAGTGTTTCGTGGAACTTGCAAATAGAGGAAAATGATATTGTACACTCCATGGAAGAAGAACATACCTGGACGGTTGCCAAGAGGGAACCAGTGCCCTTCACGTATCGGTAATAACTCTTTGTAAAACAGCAACATCTCTTTGAATCCGGGTACACAATGTCTATTAGCAGCTTAGGAAATATATATAGATAGATGATCGATCGGTGTATTTGAAAAAAAAAAAAAAAAGATGAAATCATAAAAGGATACCCATTGCGTTTCCCCATCTCTCTATCAGACTTAATGGTACTAGATATTGATGTACAGAGTCCGGGACAGGATCTTCTTCTAGTCCATAACAATCTTTGGATCCATTCTCAGAGTCATCAAAACCACTTGGCTCGCCGTCTGCTTGTGCTGTTGAGTCAAGGTACTTCTCTACTGGTTCGCAAGACTGAAGTAAATTTTCCAATCCCTCTTCTGCTTGAGATTTTCCAAACTCCACCTCATCATCACGCCCATATAACGGGCCTGGAGACCACAGTAGCTTGTTATTATTGTGTTGGGACTGAAATGACACAGGCTTTCTTTTGGCCTACAAAGTAACGAGATAAACCAAATGATTTCAAAGTTTGCAAAACCATGGATGGCTAAGGAGAGAAAGACCACAGTACATAAGAAAGTTCATACATAAGAAAGTTGATATATAATAGAACAACTACTATAGAGTAGAAGTAGCAATGCAAAACAAAGGGACACGGAGATGCATCAAATGCATTACAATAATGACAAAGTAAAGAGACAGTACCAGACAAAAGTAACGTGGTCTTGAATACGGCACACCAAACTGCAACGGACTCAGAATAAATTCTTGAGTGACATAATCTAATTTTGTTAATGTATCAATCATTTCCGTATGGGTATCCGAAGTCTGCACCAATAAAACACCACCAATGAGTAAAAATAAAAAGATATCGAGGATTCAAAGAATATGATCGAGAAGAACAAGTACAAATAATTATTGAAAACTCTCAGTGTTAACTCCATCTAGAAAGCAGAGGCAAACACAAACCTCAAATCCAACAACATTCTCTACAAATAACATTTGTGGAGGCTTAGAAGTATGCGGTATAAGCTCGAGAATCTTGAGAAAAGAATATGCCCGAGCATCACCAGAGTGTTTCTGAAGGCCTAACCAAAAAAAAATACCGTTAGTATTCAACACATCCGCTACAGAAAATTCGAGCCATGTGATTAGCAAAGGAAAACGTCGAATCACCTTGTCGGGTATAAGGTTGACAAGGAGGAGAAAGAAGCCAAGCATCTGCCTTATACCTATCTAAATCAGCAGCAGTGAGGCTCTGAATATTCCCCTATGAACAAACAAGCAAAATGTATCAAGTAAAAGACTTTGTCACACTTTCAATCATCAAACAGCTTATTCAGCAAACTAGAACAAGTCATGGCCTTAAGTCACACAACTAAGCATACTCTACTCTACAATTTGCAAATGTAACAGAGCTTGTAATTGGAAAGTCCAGCTTCAGAGTTGCAAAGGGTTCTAAATCAAATTGCTCAGTTTCAGAGTTTCAAAGGGTTCTAAATCGAATTGCTCAGTTTATCTTTAGTGACTCTACACGGAGATTGAAATCAACAGGAACTGAGAAGAAGAAGAAGAAGAAGAAGAAACCTGATGGGGACGATGTCCGAAATTATGCTGATAAACATCATTGGCAACATCATTGATCTCAAACGCTTCTACAACTTCTGCGACGACGCCTGACGCCATTAAAGAGTATCTCTGAAAGCAAACGAAACATAATGAATTTATGGTTTTAGTAAGAGGGTAAACTCCACCAAGCAAAAATTGAAAATCAGAGGTAAAGGAGAGTGTTACCATCCCACCGATTCCACTGTAGAACTCAAGAACTCGCCATGGCTTCTCGTCGATTGTGTTCGCCATTGATTGTTGGCTGCTCTTCTCCTGTCTTCACCAGTTTGATTAGAAGGAGTTGTATGGATACTTCTTCTTCTTTTCCGTTTTCGGTTTAGTAATCGAACCATATCACTCGTATTCGGTTTAGTGATAAATCTGGTAAATTCGGTTTACTAATAAAACCATAGGTTATTCCACTAGTTTCTCTATTATATAATCACAATTCAAATCAAAAGTGTTTCGAGTTCTGATCCAACAAAAATAAAAATCAAACTCTTTCAAAGGTGTAATTAAATGAGGTAAACCAAATATTCACATAATGTGTAATTAAATGAGGTAAACCAAATATTCACATAATGTATACTCTTCTCTGCTTAAACTTAAACAATTACTTGTTGAATTTTAAAACAGAAAGTTATGAACTTCAGTTGCGAAAATATAAAATGAATGGTTTTACTTTGTTGAACATTTGTCTTTTTGATCCAAGCAAAAGAAGAAATTTTCTAGAATGTCTCCGTTCCACTTGACCATAGGTCCATATCTCTACACATCTAAAGTTGGAATATTCAAAATTTTGAATAAAACTAAGAGATTAGTTAGGGTTTTCTCATGTGAGTGGGTCTCTTAACAACAATTTAGTTCTACTAATTAAGTTATTATCCTTGCGATTGATCGAACGTGAAATTTTAATACGTGTGATAATCATATATAGACAAATAAAACTTGGGAGAAGGGGAGAGATAAGTGATGATGATGCATGGAAGCATTTCCAAAAGAGAAATCGAATAGATTCTTTCTATTCTTTTATGTTCGTCAGTCTTTTCTTTACCATTCCCCGAGACAATATGGTGGGTTTACTAATTATTATGATTCTTATATATTCCATTTTCCCATTTTCTGTATTATGATTCTTTTGGGGATTTTTATATCTATACTTTATTAAATCACCCGCTATTTTTCTACAATTTTGAGTTAGCTTTTACGGCGACTTGTGGATAAGGCATTAGCCTCATATGCAACTGAACGAATAATTGTTTTGTAGCTTTAATCCACGTTACTAAACACTTTGGAAATAGCATACAAAAATACTTGTTGGGATGAATCAATGTTTTAACAAAATCATATACTATTAGAGTGAAGATAAATATTTTATGTTGTTAATTTATCACCTATACATTTGTCTCTAAGACTAATTAGATCCATCTCTATATAATGGAAAAGATGATTCATATAAATGTCAAACGTTCCGCAAAACGAGAATGAACAAACTCTAGAAAATGGTCCTTTTTCCTCCACTTTTTTGCTTTATATATTATAAGTACGTATATAGTATATCACAAAATAAGAAATCAAATATGAAGAATATTTTTCACTAATCTCTTTATAAGCAAAAATAAATTATATTGTGCGAGAACTGTTTTATAATGACGATGTTGAAGTGTCACGTGAGGTCCTATGCCAAAATTAAATACATTTCATCTTATTCATTTAATCTCCATAATTAATTTGATTTTCGATAATATATGTTTTGAGAAGTTATATATTATAAAGTTATTAATCATTCGTGGTATTCCACATATGTCTTACACCATCTCCAATCTATTTTGCTATTTTTTCTTTAAAAATAGAAGAATTCTAAAATAGAGGCAGATTTCTTTCCAATCCACCTCTATTTTAGAGGAATACCTCTATTTTAGAGGAAAATATAGAGAAATCTATTTTTTCCTCTATATTTAGAAGAAAAAGTAGCATCTTTATTTTTTACTCTAAAATAGAGATGGATTGGAGAACAAAAATGACACCTCTATTTTTTCATCTAAAAGTAAAAGAAAAAATAACAATAGATTAGTGATGTTCTTACTGTGGTTTTTTTTTTGTCTTACTATCTTATAGCTGACTCTACTTTAGAGAGACATATTTACTTTTGAATAATGAGATACTTTTCTATTTATTTGTTACAACTTATCATTTTTTTGATAAATGTTACAATTTTTTCATACACAGAAGAAAAGGTGAAATGACAGTAAAATAGCGATTCGTAAGCCACAATGTAGTTAACTTGTAAAATGGTTAATTATACATAAAAAGATATTAGAAAAAGAGTAGATGAGTAGTAGACAAATCAAAATGACACAAAGATGTTCAAAATTCGAGTCTCGAAGACGTTTCCTTCCTATTATTGAGATTATTTATTTATTTATTTTTGTTTCAATCAAATTTTTGATGTTTTGCTTGGGTTCTGTTTTGAGAATCACGAACAGGTTCTGAAGGATAACCGGAAGAACCGAGAAACATTAAAAGACTAAACAAAGAGGTTAGAAGTTATTCCTTTAATGTTTAATTTCCGCGCGCTTTAGACCGATACGTTCCTCGAAACTGTTGCCATGCAACTTTTACTTTAGCAGTCTCAGATTTTTCTCCTTACTGCATCCTTTTTACTCCTGACACACACGAGAGCATATTATACACCCATGTACCTCCATCAACGGCTATGAGTATATGGTTAAAAAATGGTGATCATATATCTTTAGTTGATGAATTGGTGAAGTTGAAAACACATATTATGGAGCTGAATTTTCGGGAAAATGTTAAAATTGTTGGAAAAGAGGATAATTGTATAGGTTTGTGAGATAATTATGAAATAAATTATTAATGGAGGTAGATTTCTCTAGTTTTAAGTGTTCAGTTATGCATTATATAATAACTTCATGTTTGTCTATATATTCTGCTAAAAGATATTTTTTTAACGCAATAGGGGTATCTTTACCAGACATAGACCACGTACGTATAGTCGATGAGCAATATATGAACGTGATACATGCTCAAAATGGATCATGAGATGAGATAACTATCTATATCCTTCAGCTTTAGTCAATATATATGCATATACGAGGTAGGACCCCAAAAAGGTCAAAGAATCTTATCTTTCAAACTTATTTTGTGAGTTTTAGTGAGATATTCATTTTGTCTCATAGCGAAACTCCACCTGTTAATCAAGTCATATTTAAAAACACTGACTCCAAAGGATTTACTCTCGTTCATCAGCCAAACACATGATAGGTTACATATACATGATCCCACACACACCATCCTTTAATCCAATGCAAGACTCCAACGAAATTTCTAAGTCTCATTTTGGGTGGTAATTTTGCAAACTTTGGTTTGTAATCTTATTTAAAAGAACCCGTAGAATTTTGGGTCTTTAGTGCGTAGGTATAAGACTAATTTTTTTAAAAAATTATTTTTGCGAATATATCATCATCTGTCATGGATTTTTAAAACGGCTACTGAAATTTGACAATGTACGTAGTAGCTTTTGTGAAGCAGGCGTATAGTGAAAACGGCTGATATTGGAAGCTTTAACTTGTGTTTTGTTTACTTTGTTTAAATTAGTGTGGGGTCTAAGAATGAGAAGATAAAACTAAAGGAAAATATAGATAATTTTGTTTCTTTTAGGAAAACGTAGTTTACGGAGGAACCCAACGTTAAAGGAAGTGCATTAAAGCTGAAAACAAATAAGAAAGTGAAAAACCAATTGAAACCCTAATTTCACTTCAAAAAATGTTCCCGGTTGTTAAAGGAAGGGCATTTTGATTTGCCGTATATATATATATATATATGAGGAGAGTCTAACATCACATTCATATGCTCTAACATCAAAATCTCGTCTCTTCTATATACTCACTTTAATTGTTTCCAATTACCATCCAAGGTATATTATAATTAACAAATGCTATAGTTTACATTTGTGTATATTTATGCCTTTAATTTTGTGTACTTGTATTTTTAATCTATGGGGCCGTACGTAGAAGAAGATGAATAGGCCGGGAGATTGGAACTGCCGTTCGTGTAGCCACCTCAACTTCCAAAGGAGAGATTCGTGCCAACGCTGCAGAGAGCCAAGATTAGGCGGCATTACTGATTTAGTCACCGGTTTTGCTGGCCGCTCGGTTAGCAGCTCCTTCGGTTTCAACATCGGTCCAGACGTGAGACCCGGTGATTGGTACTGCAGCCTCGGAAATTGCGGGACCCACAATTTCGCCAGCAGGTCCAGCTGTTTCAAGTGTGGTGCCGCCAAAGATGAGTCTTCACGCTTTGCTGCCACTGCACCCACCGGGTTTATAGACAACGTGATTGATGGTCCAAGACGCGGCGTTTTTGGTTTTGGTAGCAGCAGTGGTGGCGGCGGCATGGGCCGTTCTCCTTGGAAATCTGGAGATTGGATTTGCCCAAGGTACTTTTTTGTTCCATGTACATGTGGGGGATCTTCATCACGTAATATCTATAACTCATGCATGCGGGCTTACGTAAGCTAAAACCACACTGTTTAAAATTATATTAGTATATATACATTCATATAAAAAGATTGTGAAACTGATTGGAATTGTATATATAGGTCAGGCTGCAATGAACATAACTTCGCAAGCAGGTCAGAGTGTTTCAGGTGCAACGCCCCAAAGGAACCTGCCTCCAATCCACCCTACTAGTCCTGACTTTCTTCATCATCTTCATGTAAGTTTGTTTTTCTTGTTAATGAACTTTCTTCAAGTAAATTTTATTTCAACAATTATACTAATCAGTTTCTAATCATAGCCCACAAGGCCACAGCGCATAAATGTTTGGATTATATTGATAGCTTATACGGCTCTATTATTTCCTCAAAGTTTATATGCGTGTGTGCTATATAGTCTACCAGAACATTAAGCAAAAGAAGTTATTGTTTCGTGCGCGGAATTTTTTATCAAAGATTTTTTTACATTTACAGAAAACATATCAAAAGAAGCACAAGTTTTTCATGAGACCTCATCATTGGAAAAGTCTGATTTTAACATGTTTTTTTATTGTTTTTTTTTCAGGTTGCATAGAGCGGGATAAAACTAGTGAAGAACCGCAGCAAGATACCGATCGAACCTTCATGTCGTGATTTGTTTTTTCTTTCTTCTTTGATTTGACTCGTTTCATATCTCGTAGGACCTTTCACTGGTTTTAGAATGTAAGCACACTAAGCGCTTAATTTCTTTTGATATCGGTCTCCTAGCTACCTACTATGTACGTTTGTTTTAATGTATTATTATTTTTGAAAAATGTCTTACCTTTCTTATTTCGCAATAACGAATTTCATCAAAGTTTGAAGCAACTGATCTTGTTGATCGTGCGAAACGCTGAAATTAGCAGTTTATGTGGTAGCAAGTCCAAATTGCATGCAGATCTTATGATACAATCAGCCTTTATTATAAAAAAAATTCGTACGAGTGGAGTATTTTTACGTTAAACCAAACAACAAAACTCAATTAAGTGTTTGAAATAGATAGATGCATGGACCACAGCAAAACCTTTTGTTCAATCCAATGCCTCAAAAAGGCGTGAATAATTATGAAAATTTAAATTTTCAAAGGTGAATCAAAATTTAGCGCATAGTTATGCACTTTTATTATAATGTGGCTTGAGGTGGATGAGTTAACCATCAAATTGAAAAGAAAATTCTTTGAGTTCCCTTCTTTAAAAATAAGAACAGTTATCATGAAATGCTAATTATGTTGTCACTAATTTGAATGGAAAGGTGACCAAAGTTCGTTTTCGCGGTAACCTAAATTATGATAAATTCTAATTAATAAAATATACAATATTTTTTATATAAGTAGTTTCATAGTTATTAAATTGGTATTCTAAGACAACATTACAGCTACATATGTCATAATGTATTCTAAGCTGTTGAAAGCTAAAGTTTTGATTAATTTCCACTGTCTAACATAATTTCAAATTAGTATTTCGTTGCAACTGTATAAATAAAGCGAGGAAACATTTTTGTTAACAAAAGGTTAAGTATATATATATATATATATATATATATACTAATCAAGTTTTTCTTCCTTACAGTGAATATTAATTTGGTCATAATTTCATAACAATATTTTGCAACTTACTACCAGATTTAAATGGATGTTCCGATGCATATTAGCAAATAGCAATGAATATTCTGATATAATATTTGCCAAAATAATAGTAAAGTTTAGGAACAGCCGACAAACTAGTGACAAATGTTAGGCACAAAAGTTTTGGATTGCTTAACTAATTAAATTAATGGCAAAAAACTTTACTTAGAGATAAATATGTTATCATTAATCATTTGCAATGTCTTTGGCAATATTACATATACTATCATTGTTTGGTTTTGCTTTTTTAAAATATCACAATTTTTTAAGCTTCAGATATTCAAAATAACAGAACTCTAAGACGTGAAATTAGTCGTAAAAGAGTTTATAAGATTTTCGGCATCCTAAAACAAAATGTGGTATATATAGTTCTGTTTGAAATTGTTGTATTTTTGAAAGAAGGAAAAGCATGATATGGTATTTTGAATTTAAAAAAAAAAAACATTTGACAAAGTGGGTTAGTTTATCCATTCATGTAATTCCTTTCATCCAGCATATCAAATATAGAATGGTGACAGACAGTAGAACTCGAGGGATAAAACGGAGTAAGTATGGTTAACAAATCATCACTTAGTAAACAAATGAATATGATACTAAGTAATGGTTCGTTAACCATACTTACTCCGTTTTATCCCTCTGTCACCATTCGAGTTATATATAAGCGGACGTACGTGTCCACACACACGTTGCATTTTGCATAGGATTCCTCTCATTCATTGACCTCGTGGAGGTGGTACTTAAGATTATCATCAACTGGTCAAAAAAGAAGACAAACCCTTCTTTAATGTCTGCTACTATAATCCATTGCTTGGCTTTTATTTTTTCCGTTAAAGGTTGCACTAATTGGCTTTTACTAAAGAATCTTTCGTTTTTCCCCACCTTTAAGTTAATTCATCATTTTATTCTTCTTTGGTTTTAGTGAAGTGAAAGTACGTCTTAGGTATCATCATGCAATAACGTCTTCCCACTTTGAATTCCAAAACCATCAATTAGATTCGATTATATTTGCATTGCAATGTCATGCATTGAGTTGTAGTAAGTAAAACATTCTTAGAGACAAGCTCGACCAAGTTTACAACCTAGCTAGTGTTCGGATGGGTGCATCTTTTATTTAAAAAAAATAGAGGTTTAATCATAATTTAAAGTCTTATATATAGAATTGGTGTTTCTTTTAATGAACATGTGAGAGAGACCCGTCGACGACCATTCTAAGTAAAGTGTACATCACTTGTGTTATATAAACAAAAATCCATACTGTTAAAGTCAATTTTTGTAACAAAAGCAATAGCAAAGATAACTTTTTATCTATTTTAAAAAAACACCCTTACAAAACAATAATAAAAACAACTTATTATTATAAATTTGAGAAAATTGCAGTAACTTTTCAAAAAGTTTTAAAATTTCTCTTTAACCCACATAAAAGAAAGGAAAGCATGTTCATCTTTCTAAGCCCTTCTTTTTTTCTTTGCCCTTCTTTCTTTTGTTTTTTTTTTTGTCACACTCCCCTAATTAATTATAATTTCTATCTTTATACAAAACATGCATTGTCATGGAAGGATGCATCATTGTATTCTCAATGTATTCATGTAATCTCATATTTCTTTTGAAGGGCGTATGGATAGAGTGATAGTCTAATTCGATTCAACCATAAAAGTTGAAGCCTCCGCACGAGTTAATTATTATTGAGGTATATTTGCTTATATAAGTGACTCAAGAATCAGATATATTTTATATAAGAAACTGAGTATCCGTAGAGTTCCAATGTAATCCAACAGAATAAAATGCTAAAGAGATAACACAAAGATTTGACAAAATATCGACCAGACTAAAATAGTCAATATAAAAAAAAAAATGTTCAGTTCCAAACATGTATCCGATAATCCGAACGCTATTGAAAACGAGGTTTTGATAAACAGATTTGAAGATATATATAAAAGCATCATTCGCATGATGTTACTTTAAATATTTATTTGAAAGTTCAAAAAAAAAAAAAAGATATTTATTAACATTTTAGTTATGTTTGATCTCCAATAATACAAAGTCCGGGTCCGCCTTGCGAATCTAAGAAAATGAAACTTCTTCGGGCCCATTTATGACCCAAACGCAGTAACAGCTCTTCCCTTCCCAACTCCACCTCTTCTCTCTCACAGGCTCTCTTCTCATCTGAAGCTTCCCTTCTCTTCTCCTAAATCGTTTTACTCCTTTTCATGATACAGTTTCTCTTGCATTACAAGTTTGATCTCTTTTAAAGTATCATACATGTTAAGAATCTTGTAACTGGTTTTTCGCTCACCAGAGTTGCACGCAAACTGTTTGTAGAAATTCCTAAGAGAGACTCTTTTACAATTTTTATCCCCTTGTCTCCGTCCGATTCTGGTCCGATTCTGGTCCGATTCGACTACTTATATATGTCTGAATATTAATCCGTTGGTGTTTCACTGAGATGATTCAAATGTTAGGTAATGTGCATCACATAAGAAGGCATTTAAACCCTGAACTCTGTTTCAGGGCAAATCCAGGTCGCTCTTTCCGTTCAATACAGGTTTTGTTTCATTCGGTTTTGTTTCATTCTTCTGTTGAAGAAGCATTGCCTAATGAATGGTACGAAAAGAAACTCCCAGTTCTGACAAAACTAAACCGTGCACTGAGAGACGTCGATTTAGTCGACGGGAAGCTCGAGGACATCAATGGCGTCATCGTCTATGATGATTGTATCAAACGGAAAATGCAGGCCTTCAAGTCTTTGGGTAGAATCTTCATTGGGTCTCCTTCGATTCAGCAGAAGCTCAGAGATCAGGGACCCTTCAAGTTCCCAATTTTTGGCACTGAATGCGGAAGAGAGCCGTTGGTGGTGAATTCGCTGACAAAAGTCACCAACTTTCTGAACATCTCGGCGCAACAGAGGAAGCTAGTGAGGTGCACCGTGTGTTCACAGGTGACGCAGTATCGTATATGGAGAGGTGCTCTTGAAGATATACTGAATGGTCTCAAGGAAGAAGTTGATTGGTTGGTTGAACATAGCGAGACGAGGCAAGGCACAAAGCTGGGTCAGCAAGTGATACTGTCTTGCCTCAAATTCTTATCTGAATCATCGGTTTCATACGAAGCCGAGAACTCAACTTCGTGGATGCGACCTGTGCCAGCTAGATACGCAAAAGCAAATGCTTCTGCAAAATGGGAAGATGTTCTTGACATGGTGAATGATCTGAGAAGGTATCTCGAACACGATGAAGGCACCACAGTACTCTACCATCTGGAGAAGCTTTTATCGATGAAAGAAGGGCTTCTACAGATCAAAGATGTGTTTTTGGACAACACCATTGGGTTCAGGGAGGTTAGGCATCAAGAGCACCTTGTGTATAGAAAGCTTTCAAAGATGTTGGGCAGTCCTTCGCCGTGTCTGTTCGCTCTCGTCATGTACTTCCTCTACGGCCGAGTGCGTGACATCGAAGTTGATCTCCGTGGAGGGTTTTACAAGGACAAGAGCGAGTCATTGTGCGTAAGCATGGGGAGGATCTTGACTTCGACGGATGAGAAAATGTTGGAGAGGGGGATGAAGCAATTAGATAGAGCCTTAGGGCTCTTTGAGTTTGTGTGGGAAACAGCAGGAATGAAAGAGACTCTTAACCTGCAAGGACATTTGTGGTGCCTTGGAGCAGAAGAAAAGTCTATCACGTACCGTGGGAGAACATACTTCCTGCATGACCTTAGTCTATGAAGTCTTGCGAGGAAGAGACAATAAGTGTACATTTTGTTTCTCTTGGGTACACTTGGAAATCTAGTCTCAATTCAAAATGTATTTTTCAAATTGGTCTTAAACATAAAGCCATTGCTGAAAGAAAATGGATTATATAAACTTAATTGAATAATACAAATGAGTTTGATATAGAAATCTGCAGCATGGTTTCTTTGCTTCCTCGCTTTTAAAGGAAGCAAGAGAACTAGCATAAAACCCACACAGCTAACAACATCAAAGCTATATAATATTACAAGTTATCAATCCAGATGAAAAGTTCCCAGATCATAGCTTAAGCCAACAGCCACTCTTTCTTCTGATGTCGTGCTGCTTCATTCATTTTCTGATACACTCTCTGAGAATTCTTTTGAGCGCTGTTTAGCATGTAATGGAGGTTGCTAAAGGAGATACCAGAACAGCGGTTTTTCCAGTTATCGGCTTCATACTTGCTGCATTCTCTAGCCTTGCCCAGACTTCTTTCCTCTTCTCCGCTGCAGAACATTGCTTTGCCTCGTCCTCCTGAAAGCGGGCATGGCAAGACATGAACAGAGCCTCATCCATTTCACAGAACATTTTTCTCACGTTTAGTGTTAAGTTTAGCACGGATTGATTCCAGTGGGTGTCAGCATTCTTTTCTAAGGCAGTGAACATGATCGGTAGGATTGCTTGCCGGTTTAGTGCGATCAAGTTCACAATTTGATCGTTGTTCCACAAAAAAAGTGCTCTTTCAGAAACCTGAAACACAAAGAAACATCCCCCATTGGTTCAACTTTAAAGCTGTATATTATGTTCTTGCAAATCAATCATATACGAGAGAATCAAAGTCAACAACGACTCAGCAATACAATTTGCAAAAGAAAGGCTCTTTTAGAAATACGGATATACCTGAAAGTGAGAACTGTTGATACAGCAAGCAATCCGAATGAACAATGGGACCATGACCTTTTGGAATTCCATCTGGCTCATTGCTTCTAAAATCTCCTCGACCTCTCCGAGAAACATCACTTCCTTCTGGCTGTTCGTGATAGGCCAGAACTTCAACAGACCCTTAATCACAACACTGCCCAGCTTTGGCTCCTTGTCTATGAACTGAGTGATGCAGTAAGATAGCTGCTGGAAGTAGTTCCCAAGAGATTTAGGCTTGTGAAGCGGAATCAACACCCTCCACAAGAAGATCTTGTGCTCCTCTTTCAAAGGCAGCGCGAACCCGCTCACTATGCTCCCGAAAATCTCCAGAAGCTCCGCGATTCCGCTGTGCTTCTCTGTCTCAAACACGAACCGGTAGAATATATTGCTCATGGACTTGCGGACAAACGGCCTGTGAACCATGAACTTCCCGTACACACGATGCAGGATCGTCTTCAAACACTCGCGTTCCCTAGGGTCCTCTGAGTCGAACAAGTCGAGCAGCCTCACGATGAAAGCATGGTCTAGGTACTTCTTCGCCAGTTTAGCGTCGAGGCACGGAGAGGTGATGAACTTGAGAAGCAGGTCGTAGACGATTTGCAAATGCGGCCAGGCAGGGTCGAACATGGGCTCGTCGTCGTCGTTTTCGCCGCCTCCACTAGACCGGTAGTTCGGAGGGAAAACCCTAAAGAGATTCACAGCACACATTCTACACATTGCGAGAATAGCTGGTTCGGTGAATCTAACAGACCCTGAAGCCACGAAATCCAAAAGCTCCAGCAACGTCTGCCTCTTCACATCTTTCTCGATCGAGTTTTTACTTGGGTCGGAGAAGTCGAACGTTACGCAGCAGAGGCTGACTTTACTCACAAAGAGGTTCAATTTCTCCGAGTTCGGTACGTCCTTGAACGGTACCAACGGCTCGATTCCGGCAACCACGCTCGCCGGGAAAACAGCAGACGACATACGCTTCCCCGAGTTGGACCGAACCGGTCCCGAGCCCACACTGGTCCCGGATCTCTGAGGCGGAGACGGAATCGGACCGGAGCTCGAACGAGGAGTCAGTTCCCCTGAGTCGGCTTTTGAAGACTTCCGTGGAAGTTTACTCAGAAGTTGCTTGAACATTCTTTCCCAAATTCAAAATCACAGAATCAAAAAAAAAAAAGCAGTGATGAAAATTGGGAATCGAAGAGCTCAAACCCACATTTTTTCAATTGATGAAAACGAAGAGCCCTAAAATTCCCCGACCACAATGCGGATCTGACAGAAAACCCAAAGAGGAGGAATGTGTTATGAGATCCCCGTGGAATGTGGTTTAGATCCGAAACAAAAGGTTGCCACTTTTATAATCCCCCCCAATACTGGGAAACCCTAATCATTACCTGCTTTCTCCTCAAATCTTAATCTCATGATTCCAGTATCCACGGACATTCCTAGAGAGAGAGAGAGAGAGAGAGAGAGAGAGAGGGAAAGAGGCGGAGAGAGATAGAACCTTTAGATTGAATTTTTTTTTTTTTTTTAAAAAAGCTGAATCTAGAGTGCAAATAAAAAAGCAAATCTGGGTGGTGAAAGGAGGTAGAAAAACGAAAAATATAAAACAGAGTTTGGATCGATCGATGATAAAAACTTATTAAGATCCTTGGGGTGCCTTGATTGTGTTTCCTTTCTCGATTGCTGGAAAAAGAATTATACTTCTCCCATTTAATTTTAGACAGGATTTTCTTTTTATCGGAAAAATCAGCGGCTTTGTTCCGTTTTTCCGATAATATTATAAATCAACATTTCGCATGCAATTATAGCGTCAGTTTGATAAGACGCTGACACGTAATTACAACCGTTGGATTCACTGAGAGGAATCCTAAGTAACCGGTGCGCCAAGGCCCATTTATTCTCTAGCTACTATTTGTTATGACATAAAATGGGCCTTATATCTTTCGAATTGGGCCTAATATATAACCACATGTGCCTCCCAACCACTAGTCTCTAGAAGAAACTGTTGTCACCGAAATAGCTGAAAATTAACAGAAAACTCTATCCGTCTCATCCCCAAAATCCGTCAGCCTAAGGTTTCATTTTCCCTTCGCATCTATCTTCTCCGATTGATTATCAGTGAAACTGTGTACTTTATCTTGTTATCAGGTAAATTTCCATGGTCGCCATGTTTAGTATTCTCGAGATCCTTAGGTTTAATTCGATTGAGCTTTTCCCTTTATGCTGAAGTTTCTGGGGTCGAGTCTTTTGTTTTTCGTGTAAAGGTGTTTTCTTTTCGTTTTGATTTCGGTTTTCTCAGAACAGTGATCGGTTTTGACAATTGAGATGTGTGTTCTTTCGGGAATCGGAATATTTTACAGGATTGAATCGAATTGTATATAACTTTATTGTGTCTATCCATATCTTACTTTTAGCTTCTCTCGCAGCTGTTGAAGTGAATGTTGCAAACGACTGTGGCCAATCATGTCCAGTAATATGGGAGCAGAGGATGTCTCTAACCATCTCGAGACTTTTGGAGAATCGAAATTGATAGAAATAGGATCATCGAATGATCCTCCTGTGCCATTTTCGGACATGAAAGAGGAGCCCTTGGCTTCCGCGAGCAGCAACCTGGACTTTCCGAAAGTGGAAACATCAGTCTCTGGTCCTATGCCATTTACATTTGAGCCAGAGGGCATCTCTTTTCAATCTTTTCAGCCCTCTGCTTTGGCTGATTCTCAGTCTTTGATGACTCAGTTGCAACCTCCTGATGCACATCCGTATTCTCTAGAAAGGTCACTGGCTGCTGCATGTCGTAGCCCGAGGTCATTTCAGCTGACAGGGAAGCGGAAAGCACCACCCGAGCCTACTCTCAGTGGTTCTGCACCTAACAAGCGAGTGGAACCAGTGCATCACAGACCATGGCTAGAACAATTTTCAGCAAGTATTCTTCCGGCTCATATGCCAGCCGCTACTCTTTCTCCGAAGACGGAACATCCACCAATGCCTGCCAAGAAAGTGAGGCAAATGGAACCAGCTTCTCAAAAATCTGGGAAGCAAGCGATGAACAAGAAACAAACAGGCCCATCACAAGGGTCGACAAAAACACAGAATGAAGGAAATGAGTCTTTGAGATCTAAAATGAAGGAATCATTAGCTGCTGCCTTGGCTTTGGTTCAGGAGCATGAGGAATCTCCGAAAGAGAAAAAGAACTCAGAAACTGAAGAAGCAAGCGTTCCAGTAGCTGAAAGTGATGAGTCTGCCTCAGCAGCTAAAAGTGATGAGTCTGCCACAGCAGCTAAAAGTGATGAGTCTGCCTCAGCGGGTGCCATCAATGGTCCAGTAGCTGAAGGCATGACAAGGGATGAAAGTTCTGGGCAGAAGGATGGCAATGGAATTATTCTGTCACAGGAGACTTCAAATGACACAAAGATGAATTATGTTAATCAATCTGATGTACAGAAAACTCAATTTGACGAGGTTTTCCCCTGTGATGATGTTCGTTTTAGCGATAGTATTTTTTCCAGCGATGAGCTTCTACAGGGTAATGGCCTCTCATGGGCTTTGGAACCTGTTTCAGATCTTGGGGAGAGAAAGGAGAATGAATCTGGTGGTGAGAAGTCGTTTGAGGATCCAGACCTCTTGGCATCTAAAATTGAGTTGGAACTTTTTAAGCTATTTGGAGGCGTGAACAAGAAATACAAAGAGAAGGGAAGGTCTCTCTTGTTCAATTTGAAGGATAAGAACAATCCTGAGCTGAGAGAAAGCGTCATGTGCGGAAAGATCTCTCCGGAGCGACTGTGTTCTATGACCGCCGAGGAACTTGCTTCTAAGGAGCTTTCTCAGTGGCGACAAGCAAAAGCAGAAGAGATGGCTGAGATGGTTGTCTTGCGGGATGCAGACGTTGACGTCAGAAGTCTGGTGAGGAAAACGCATAAAGGTGAGTTCCAGGTAGAAATTGATCCTGTTGACAGTGTGACAGTGGATGTCTCTGCTGGGATTACCTCAAGTAGCAAACCTCGAAGCAAAGCCAAGTCCACGAAATCATCTACTCCTGCCAAATCCACTCTAAAGAAAGATGACTCGAATGATAAGAACACAAAATCCGACCAGGGAATGACTATGCCGTCAACAGAGGAGACTGATCCAATGCAGGGTGTGTCGATGGATGATGAGATGAAGGATGTGGGATTTCTTCCTCCAATTGTATCGCTTGATGAGTTCATGGAATCCCTGAACTCGGAACCTCCATTTGGAAGTCCACATGGGGATCCTTCTGTAAAGGAAGAGCCTGCATCTGAGAAGAATGACTCAGAAGTTGGTTCGCATTCAAAGTCACCTTCAGGATCTCCTAAGCAGTCGCCAAAGGAACCCCGTGAGAGTGTTTCTCATAAAGCAGAACTCGAAAAGACCAATGCAGCTTCCCCAAAACCTGACGCGGGTGTCAAACTCGATGGTGATGTCTCTGAGCCTGGAACGACACATTCGGTTGATAGCATTAAAGAGGACCAAAAATGGGATGGTATACTGCAGCTTAGCGTCTCTTCAGCTGTTTCAGTCACTGGAATTTTTAAGAGGCAAGTCTCCTTACTTAAGTTAACTTTTATCTCTTGTTTGCTAGTAAATGGAAAATATGGTAAATATATATTGGAGCACAGGAAAAGCAAACCCATGATTGAATTGGGATTTTAAGACCATTGATATGTTTATACACTTATATTGAAAATAGGTCACAACAAGATACATTTATGATAGATCACAATGATGCTTGTTTTATTTCTTGATCAAAATATGGAATGAGAATAGCATCTCAGACATATATGTTGAAGATATCATTGAACGTTATCGCTGACTGGATTTGCTCGTGCAGTGGTGAGAAAGCAAAGACAAGTGAGTGGCCAACGCTGGTGGAGGTAAAGGGTAGAGTGAGACTCAGTGCGTTTGGGAAGTTTGTAAAAGAGCTTCCTTTGTCTCGAAGCCGTGTCTTAATGGTATACAAAGTCTGCTACTTGCATTATCATTGTAGTAGCATTAGCATTAGCATTAGATTCAGTCTCTTCTTTCTTTGTTGCTACAGTACTACGAGCATAAAAGATCCACATCTCAGTATTGCAAGTCGTTTCTTAAATTGCAGACACAATAGGCTTCCCATTAGCTAAAACATGGAACCCAGAAAGCAAAAGCTCACGGTTGATCTACATGTCTGAGACAGGACGGGACACTAAAGAGCCCTGATTGAACCAGAGAATCAACTGTGGATTGAATCTGCAATTTTGTATAAAAAATTCTTGAAATTTTGGATGCCAAATCATTATATGCATGTATTGTTCGGCGGCATTAACTCAGTAGGATAGAGTCTCATTAAAATCTTACCAATAATCTTTTCCAGTGAAAGTGACAAGGCCACAAACACCAGATCATGACCCAAAAAATAGAATCTCAACAAACATATTCTTTGTAATGGAGGAAAAAGTGTTCTTGCATGCATTTTTTGGTAATCAGTGTAAATTATTAAATCCTGAACCGATTCTATTTTTTTGGATTGCAGGTAATGAACGTGGTTTGTAAGGATGGTATCTCTCAGAGCCAACGTGACAGCCTTTCTGAGGTATTAATTCCTCTAATTCTTATTATTATTATTTTCTGTTAAAATTTATAATATCTATTTCCGGTCATATTCTTTCTTTTACTGCTCAAGAAGACATTTATAGTTTGCTCAAAAAGTCTTTGCATTTTCCTTTTCTCTTCGGGTCAGGTTGCTAAGTCGTACGTTGCTGACCAAAGAGTTGGCTACGCAGAGCCTACTTCAGGGGTAGAGCTTTACCTCTGCCCGCCACGTGGCGAAACCTTAGATTTGCTGGGCAAGATCATCTCCAAGGACCATCTCGATGAGGTCAAGTGTTCAGACAACATCGGTTTGATCGGCGTCGTTGTGTGGAGGCGTGCAGTCGCGTCTCCTGGCTCACGCCATAAGCCCGGATTCAAACGTCAGCACTCTTCTTCAGGGACCAAGAGCTCTGTGTTGGCTCCAGAAAACAAAAAGACTAGTAGTAGTCGTAATGTGAAGAATCCGCCTCCTGTTGTTACTCTTGCATCCATGGGGAGTCATGGTTTGCATAGTCGTGAAGATGTTGACGATGAAGACGTGCCACCTGGATTTGGCCCAGAAGCTGCGAAAGACGACGATGATTTACCGGAATTTAACTTCAGTTCCTCCACTGCACCGGTTACTTCTTCACCCAGGCCAGCGACTCAGTCACGGTCAATGGATCAAGTAAGGGAGCTCATACTCAAGTATGGAAACTCAGAAGGTAGTGGCAGTAAACGACCATGGGATGATCATGATGACGACGACGACGACATTCCTGAATGGCGACCGGAAGTCTCAGGCCACCAGGTCCAGATTCAACCGCCACCGCCTCCTGGCTTCAGAACAGAGTCTGTTCCTCAATACCATAGCAGAACCGTGGCCGGAGCACCCGCACAACGACCAGTCGCGGGACCACCAGATGGGTGGAGGGCCAATCAAAAGGCAACTAGGCAACAACAGTACAGTGCACGTAGGAACAAAGGATTTTGATTTCTGTGAATGCGTTTGGTCCTCTCTGTAACTTATAGTTTGTTTTTGTTAGGTCTATTGACTTCTCTGTCATCGTTTTTTTTTGTAGCTTTTCAACAGAAATGTAGTAAAACCTTTGAATAATGGTGTCTTTACTCTTTAGGAATAAACAGAAGTTTGAATTCCAATAGAAAGCAAGACAATCAAAGATTTGTACAGATTGTTTTAGAGATACATCAAAGAATATATGCTACAAACTAATGAACAACAACAACATCGAAAGGTATCATCATCAAGACTGCAAGACCACAGAGGGGTTTTTTCAACCAACTAAGACCCGCTTGAGTGCGGATTTCTGGTCCGTTGTCAATCTTGTGGGAAACTGAACATCGAATTTGATCTTTAGATCGCCTCTGTTTCTTGGCTCTTTCGCTATGGGCATCCCTTCTCCTGGAACCACAAGCTCGTACCCTGGACTGACGATTTCCGTGACACCAACGGGTATATCCCGACCATCGAGCGTGTTGATAGTCACGGTTGTTCCTCCTATAGCTTCTGCGAGCGTCACTCTTCGGCTTGTGATGAGATCATTCCCATCTCTCTTGAACAGATCGTGCGGCTTCTCGTCGATAACAAACACCAAATCAGCTGGTAACTGATTCACTTGCTCATTCCCTTTGTCCGGAAACTTGACCTTGGTCCCTTTCTTCCATCCCGGTTTCACAACAATGGTCAGGATCTCTGTCTCTTGCGCCTGTCTCCTGTTCACAATCAAAAAGAAACACCAAATGATAAATATATATACATTGATACTTGAAACAAGATTTTAAAACAAGGAATGGTACCCGTTAGCGTCAACAATGGATCTAGAGATCTTCATTTTCCTAGTAGAGCCAGAGTACAGCTCTTCAAGGCTACAAGGCAGTTTGCTCTCAACAGGTGGAGGTTTCTTGGGAACGGTGCTGTCGCTGTAAGTTCTGAAAATGTTGTTTTCGCCGCCGAACAGTCCTCCTCCGTCGGATTGAAACCTCGTCGACCTTCCAGCTGATCCAAAACTAAAAGGACTACTTCCAAAGAACTCTGCGAAGATGTCTTCTGCGTTTCTCGGGTTAAAACCGGCGGCTCTTCCATTGTTCCCCGTGCTCCCTGGAGGCGGCATGTCGCTCAGTCCTTCTTCCCCGTATTGATCATATACCGCTCGCTTCTGTGGATCACTCAGAACCTGTTACATTTTTCCCACCAAAAAAAAGCTCAAAATTAAATTCAGAATGTAGGATGTTTTGGTTAGCAATGCAGCAACATTGCCTCATATGCCTTAGACAATCTGCTTGAGGAGATACATTTTGCTTATATCCCAAGAAACTCATTATCATGGATCTCAGCAAGACATATAAACACACAGTTTTGGATTTTGCGGGATCCAGTGGATCAAGGGAATGAAGATTAGCAAGAAAAACGACATATCCTCTGGGAAAGGGGTGAGTAAACTTGCCTCATAAGCCTCAGAGATCTGCTTGAATTTGGCTTCAGCTTCCTTTTTGGAGTTAGGGTTTTTGTCAGGATGCCATTTCATAGCCAATTTCCTGTAAGATTTCTTCAGATCATCCTCCGTTGCGCTCTTGTTCACTTTCAATATGTTGTAATAATCCAAACCCATTTTTTTCTATTTTATTTTAACAAAATCCAGAAAAAAAAATATCAGATCTTGAAAATCCACAATGAATGATGAAATTTTTGTGTATCTAACGTACAAAAAAAAGAAAAAAGAAAAAAAAAATAGAAGCCTATTTGAGGAGATACTTGTTCTTCTATAGAAAGAGGAAAAACAAAAGATCACCGACTTGTTTAAGTTTTTTTTTCCTTTCCTTTCTATTGGAACAGATGATCTTAATTGCTCGAAATCATATTATGACAGCTATTTTTTGCAGGTCTAAAACACACAGAAATTCACGGAATCTATTTTCCTCCATTTTCTCCTCTTTCTTTTTCAAGCAAGGACGTATTTAGATGATTTTCTAATAATAGTACAGAGAGAGAGAGACAGAGGGCCGCATAAGTAGATTCACGTAGACTTACTCCCAATTTTGACTTTAAACCCATTAAGCAGACAAATTGAAGATAAGAAAGACAATGCTGGGGCTCATAATCATATATTACTGGGGAAAATGGATGGAACAATAACAAATATTTCGGTTGACTGACATGATTACTGGCTAATTCAGTTATTATTAAGATTTTTTAATTAAAAAAAAAAGAATGTGCCAAAGCAACACATGGATTCATTTGTTAAACGGTTGTGAAAGAGAAGATAATCGTTAATATTGAGCAGCAAAATGGACAAAGATAATGAGACTAAAATGGCCAAAAGAAAAGGAGGCTAATGATTCATAGCTTTTCTCCACCATAACACAATCCCAATTCTCAATAGAATGAGAGAAATCCAAACTGAAAATTTAAAAAAAAAAACTCTATACATTGTACTCCCCTTTCCCAGAAACAAAGTGGGGGAATATATAGAAAGAGATCTCCTAAGATAACCATCATCAAACTTCATATCATCCATTGCAGGACATAAGAAAAGAAAACTTCACATTTTAAGGACTCATCGAATCAGGAGGAGGGGACAGGAGCGTTGGGAGTACCCGAGGATGATGATGATGATGCACTTGCATTCTTTTGTTTTGGAGCTGTCGAGGTTGAAGTCTCAGTGGTCTCAGGTACATCGCCAATGTCCAGTGTGTCTGGAAGGTATTCCTCGGCTTCATTACTGTAAATCTGTAGGATATAGAACATCAAAGAGTCATTTTATTAAGCTTAAGTTTTCATAAAACCCCAAGGATTCAAGCTTACAATCTACACTGGTGTAGTAAATGATTACCTCGAGCTGATTCAGCATTTCGATGGTTGCATCAAGATCACCATTGTTGGCCAAGTACACGTCGTTGATAGACTCATGCGACAGACCAGAGAATGTGACCAGAAGGAACTCAATGTCCATGTCCATCTCCAAATCCTCATCCCTCATCTGCTTGTAAGCCGTATCAGAGGATGTCTTTGGCGTCGACATCTGAGAGCCAGGGAAACCTCCCATCCCTTGGACTCCAAAGCCATGAGCTACATAGGGTTGATGCTGCACGTGATGTGTTGCAGGCTTCGCAGACCGCGACTCTTGACCACCCGCTCTTTTGGAGATTGGTACGTAAGCTGCTGCGTACGGATTCAATGAAGATCCTCCTGGCTTCATTGTTAACTGGGATACTAAACAAGAAGAGAGCAAACCGATTTACTCGAATCATCTAGTAAAGCAAAATCAATCAAGGCTTTTTGCTGCAAAAATCTACGTTAGAAGAAGAACGATCCAAATCAATCAATTAACAGATGGCGAGACCCAAGCAGAGAATCATTTGTTTGTTTCCAGGCATTGACACAGAGAGATAACCGTTACAGATTTAACGTCGCTGATAATATCATCAGCTTCGCTTGTTCTTCGTGACCTCTTTAGCTATCGATCAAAATCAACCTACGCAACCTTCAAAATCGACTAGGTTTCGATAATCACGCCGAAAACCCAAGGCGTCGATACAACAAATGGTTTCCCAGAAACAAATCAAGAGGACTACGTAAAACCTAACGGAGATAGATAGCATGAACATACGAAAGGAGAGGTGCTATCTAGCCTCTACACCATAGTCGATAAAACGCGATTCTAGCTATCACATGAACATAGATCGCAGGAATCAAGAGGCTACAGAGACAGAAATCGAAAACTTCTGAAGAAGAAATATGATCTAACGAAAATGACTCAAACATAGAAAACAACAGAGAACATGAACCATCGTTGCAATCGCGTCAACGGAGAAGCAGAAACGAGAGAGAAAATGAGCTTACCAGGGGAAAAGAACAAAAGCGTTGAAGAAGATCGTTCGAGAGGAGAGACAATCGTAATGGCAGAGATCTAAAAAAACGCTAAAAAAAGTGGGCGAAGGAAAGAAAACTGCTCAATAATGGACTTATATCGTAAGCGGAATAGCAAAAGAACGGGCGTTTACTTGAAGGTCGCATCAGCGTGGGGTCTGTTTGGAAACGTAATTATCTTATCCTTGACCTGGTTTATATTGGTCCCATATTCATCTCGTCAAAGATCTTTGATATTTTCTACCGTATGGTGACGTGTCCATTAACAACTGGCTGCCTCTTTCGTATCTGTGTCAGAATTATAAAGTGGCCAACGGAGGGAAACTCTTAAATGGAGAATTAAAGTTCTTAATGACGAGTCTGCTGAAATCCATCGAAAAATATTTTATTCCAAAAAGAATAATCGAACTAGAAGGTTCAAGAACGCACATTATTTTAAAAATTCGAATAAAAATACAAGAATATCACTTTCACTATGAACTTTCTTTTACATATTACATAGATGGTTTCTTTGATTACAAGACCTCACTAGAACAAATATGAACAAGAAATTTCGTTGAAGTTTTTGGCCATTTTAAGTTTCTTGTCCGTGATGAAATTGAGGGAAACTCATGATAAGGAACTTGCTCATCCTTGAGATTAGTCGGACGCTATGGTGATCCATACAATGCGATGCTAGTAAACTCACCGGTTCACCTTGTACCAGTCTCAGTCTCGAACCCACTGTTACATCCTATGTACTAAAATAAGATGTTATCATCTTTATTTTAGTATTTCTGCTAAAGGGTTTATAAGATGCTATTATTACATATACAAACTTACATTACACTCAGAATCTGAACAAATAGCAGTATAGCACTCCATCTACAGCTATTTTCGTCCTTAATTACGATTTTGCAATCGTGCTAAAAATTTCCACGAGTTTAGACGAGTTTGTCGTTTATTTTCCGTTCTTTATATTTTAAAGGTTGACTATTTGACCCATAATACTAAATCACATCCTTGCGAATTCTTGTTTGTAGGCCATGATGCTCTTCCGTTTTGGTTAATCAGACATTCCGAGTAAAATTTATATTGAGGTTGACAAAAAAAAAAAAAAAGGAAGTGGTAGTTAATTAGTAATAAACAAACCCCTAAGTTTCATCCCTAAAAACTAGCATCATCACATACTGTTCTATCAGTATATTTTTAACTTTGCTTTTGTTGATCTGTGTTTCCTCAGACGCTAAAGTAGTGGGACATTTTTCATTTCACATTTGCCCAGTCAATTCAAATAAAATTAACTAATCTTAATTTACAAAATTAGATTGTTTTTTTTCTTCCAGAAACTAATCCTTTTACATAGTAGCTATTCATTGCGACACTGTAATAAAATTGTAATGATAAAGAAAACAAATCAGTTTCTAGACATTCTGGGTCAAAGCTGTAATAGAAAAAACAGTTTGACGTAATTTACTAATTAAAATTTCTAAAAATAGGGATACATATGTGTTTTACTCCACTCTCACATCTAATAATAAGAATCAGTAGTAGCTTTCACTGCTAATCTCTCTCTTTCACAAATCTTCAACTAAAACCAAAAAAGTAATAAAGAACAAGAAGAGTGAATTACAAAACTAAGCTCCATTAGTGTGTGATGAGGATTTACAAACCCAACCTATTATCGTTCGCCGCCACCGTCGTCTTACTATACATATCCGCCTCCGCGGCCGCCGTTCCTGGTGGGTCTCGGCAACTTCTCTACGCCAGAGGCGACCCTATAACCATACCTCCGTACCTGATATTCGAAAACACTCGGCTCGAGAGAGCTTACGTAGCGTTACAAGCGTGGAAACGGGCCATGATCTCTGACCCCTGGAATCTAACGGTGAATTGGTTCGGATCACGTGTGTGCGACTACAACGGAGTGGTATGTTCTCTATCCCTCGACGACCCTTCGATCAAAACTGTCTCCGGCGTCGATCTAAACCAAGGAGATATCGCCGGTTACCTCCCTGAAGAGATTGGCCTCCTCACTGACATTGCTCTGTTTCACGTCAACTCGAACCGGTTCTGTGGGACCATTCCACTCGGGTTTTCGCAGTTGAGTCTCCTTTTCGAACTCGATCTCAGCAATAACCGGTTCGCTGGTAAATTCCCGGAAGTATTAATCGGTTTACCGAAACTAAAGTACCTTGATCTCCGGTACAACGAATTCGAAGGGAAATTACCAGAGTCTTTGTTCGACAAAGATCTAGACGCTTTATTCCTCAACAGTAACCGGTTCGTTAGTAAAATCCCGGTTAATATGGGGAATTCCCCGGTATCGGTTTTAGTTCTGGCGTCAAACCGGTTTGAAGGATGTATACCGACGAGTTTGGGTAAAATGGGTAAGACGCTGAACGAGATCATCCTGATGGATAACGGTTTACAGTCGTGTATACCAAATGACATGGGGTTGCTTAAGAACGTCACCGTTTTGGATGTTAGTTACAACTGGCTGGTCGGAGAGTTGCCGGAGTCTATGGGACGGATGGAGAATCTGGAGGTGTTAAACGTAGAGCGTAACATGCTTTCCGGTGTAATCCCGGATGAGCTATGTTCGCTTGGGAATCTTAGAGATTTCAGATATGGGTCTAACTATTTCACTGGAGAACCACCGACGTGTAGTTATCTGGAGAATCATAACAGTACGATGAATTGTCTCAAGGATGAGAAGGACCAGAGATCGATGATGGAGTGTAAATTGTTTTTGTCGAAACCTATAAACTGTGACTCTTTGAAGTGTAATCCGGTCACTCCGTGTCTTTCTCCTCCGCCGCAAATATCACCATCTTCGTCACCAGTAGCGCCTTCTCCTCTTCCACCACGTCCCTCGCCCTCACCCTTACCGTCATCGCCGCCTCCGGCCAGACCATGTCCGCCCATACACACACCACCTCCACGTGCTCAACAACCGGCGGCTCAGATTCCCGAAAACCCTTCCTCGCAGCCACCGATGAACTGATCAATCAATGTGTAGAAACTAGAACGCGCAAGTGTTGAAATTATATTGTTTATAGCCAGAGGATATACATATCTCAGGCTTTTGTAGTGGGAACCGAGAACGTTACAGGTGGAGACAGCAAGCTGGAAATCTTTAGGACACAAAAAGTGTAGGAGGACTGGTCTCTTTCCGAGATTTTCATGTGTGTGTGTTTATGTTTTTACTTCTACAAAAAAAAAAAAAATTAGTCTCTAATTCTTGTTTGTTGAGCCTTTTTCAGATTCATTAATAAGAACAAGGGTAGCTACCATTTGACCACACAGATCAATCATCACTAGTAGTCGATTAGATATTATCTCTAAGCATATTCCAATGCTAATTAAGGTCCCTTCTCTTGTATGCCTGAATGTAAAACTTGTCAATGGCGGACCCATAATTATATACTAGGTTCAATATATATTTAAAATAATTTGTTAGTACAACAAGATCACAAAAAGACAATATGAGAAAATTTTGAAAAAAACGTATGCATTAATTGCAGGATTTATAACTTTATTTTGTTTTAATTCGATAATACTGTATATATTGAAAAAAAAACCCAAATAAATAAGTTTTTCACATAAAATTCAAAATATATGAAGTTACTACATTTCGACAAAAAAAAGATTTTCGGGGAAATCCAATCATTTAGAAGACACGTCGGCCCGCGTCTTCACAATAAGTTAATCAAGTTTAACACGTAAGTGTCTACTACTCCTATAATATAAATGTTTCCTAAAAGAATTAAGTGCTTTTCGTCTAAATTCCTTTTATTAATTGCTAAAAAGATTGTGTTTTTTTTGTCTGTCTGCGATTAAATATTTGGACAATTAGTCGTGCAAATATCCCAAGTATTTTTTTCATCGTCTAATTACATTTCCTTTTAAATTCTCAGTTTTTTAAACTTCATTTTTTTTGCATAAAAACTAATAAGCATTTTCTAAGGCACATATTTTTTTGGGATAGTATCCTATACAAGGCGTTGATTGACTGATTCCACCTGTAGCATCGAAATATCATCTTGGACATTTGGAAACTATCTGGCTACATGGGTATATAATATATTGTTTGATTTTTCCTTCTTTTTCTCATTTTTGTCTTCAGATATTTCGCTGTCAACTTAAAAATTAAATAGGAATAATTAAGGCAACATTCGAAGTATCTGGAAAGTCAAGCCTATCTTTCTCCATTTATAAACCACACGCGGGTATCCTTCAGTTTCGTCACCTGAAAAACTCGATTTCCTTCCGTGAGACGTCGTCGTCGTCAGTTTCAATCGAAGGTTGCTTCCTTGGAGCGGCCGGAATTAACGCCGGAGAACTCAGCGTCTCTCTCTGAAATTCTCTAATCGGTGGAGAATCGCCGGATCGAAAGTTCGTCATATATAATAGTATGATTCGTAGTGTGTGGTTTTATTTTTTCCTCTCTTTCTACGTTTCCGTGATTAGATCCTTCGTTCCTTGGATTATTTTCCGGTAATGTGTCTCTCTAAATGCGTGGTTGAATTGTCTGATACACTCTAGTTTTTGATCGATTGAGTTCCGTATAGTTTTCGAAAAGACTTGGAAGATTTCAGAAGAAGCCGTTGTTTGGAAAAAAATTTAGCTCGAGGCATGTCTCGAAAATGGTGAATTTCTCTGCAAATAGGTTATCTTATCTGTTGGATGTGGAGGAAGTAGAGATCGTAGGCTTTCGTAATCTCTCTAGCAGATTTAGTTTTGTGCTTCATAGACTATGTTAAGCCGAACTTCCATAGACAGAATACATCTGACACTTCTTTGTGCTTCTTGGGGGAATCCTTTGTATCGTTGGAAGGGCTCATAGGCGCTGTTTCAGGGGTGAAAGCTAGATTTCAAGGTGAGTCTCAGAGCCTCGCTCTACTTCTCTTTGGTCTACTGATGAAAGGATCCGTAAGGGTGAGATATATAGGTCTCTGAGAAACATCTTCCTTCTTGTTGATCTAGCGAAAAATCCATCTCCTTCTTCAGCTTAGCTAGCTACCCTTTGCGTTGGCATCTCCATTGATATTATTCTTCGTTAACCCAGACTTGTGAAATCTTCATTTTCACCTAAGTATATCCCTTGATCATGCACTCTTAAACTATCTCTGTTTGTCATCTCTGATTTGGCCAAGAGTGGTCGTTTTTCTTGAAGAAGGCGGCCTGGTTGCTCACCTTTTTTTTGTAGTCTGTATCTCAGCTATGGTTCCTATATAGTTCCGTTGGTTACCCTTTAGCTCAAGAGAAAACCAGCCAGCTTTGAAGACAGAGTTCGATAAACTTAGAGTACTCTTCAGGCTTTTGTTTCCTTTTAAGAAATTTCTGATTCGTATGTTGACTGAAGAAAATTAGTGCAAAGTGCCTGTGGGGGAGGTAGGTCTGTTCTCTTTGAACATTAACCCATCTCTTTAATCCGGTTATTCCCCCTTTTTTATTTTTATTTTTATTTTTTATGTCAGTCCCAAATCTTGTTTGATCGTGTTTGCCTTGCTTTTACGATAGGTTGGGCATATCCGGTTTAAACTGGATAGATTTCCCAAGATTTCAAGGACTGAAGTGAGTACTCAGTGTGCAAATCTTTTATTTTGTCTATGAAGGCTCCATCTACCAAGAGGGCTATGTTTAGTTGTTTGTAAACCTTGTTGTTTTGATGATTCTTCCTCTTGGAGAAAGCTGGTTGGAGTCGTTTCAAAACTGGATTGTCTTGGTGCTGATTGGATTGGCCTGCTGCAATGTAGATGGAGGCAACAGTGCATCGAGTTTTTTTTTCCTGGATTTTCAGGTGACAAACGTTGTTTTGGAAATGATGAATATATATTCTAAATCTTTTCCTACTTGCAGGTTTCATAAGCTTTTTCAGTCAGCTGGCATTGTCTGCCAATATCACTCACAGATAATTCGTAATGGCGCAAGTTCAATTCAACCATTTTGTTCAGCAACCCCAGAAGGCTGACAGAGAGGAGAGTGAGATGTCAAGAAATTTGTCCCTTCATTCATGCAATGAAGAATCTGAGTCGCCAGAATTGGAGGCAGTGGAGTCACTATTAAAAGAAGTCCTTGGCAGAGGACATATGGAGCATGGGTAATTTTTGCAACCTGTTTGAATTTTTCTAAGAGTTGAGCGTGTTTTTTGTATTAATATCTCCCAATGTTCTTGCAGATGTCCACACTACAGAAGAAGGTGTTGCATTAGATCTCCTTGCTGTAATGAGATCTTTGGTTGCCATCACTGTCATTATGAGGCGAAGGTAGAGTTCTTTATATAATTATATCAAGTTATAGTATTCAGGAAACTGCCTTTTCTTTGCAACTCTTATGTTTCTCAATATGTTTATGCTGACTTTTGTAATCATGTCTTGGAAGCAGAACAGTATAAATGTAGATCAGAGACAGAGGCATGATATTCCTCGCCAGAAAGTTGAACAGGTGAAGTAATCTGTATATCTTGGTCGCTCTATTTAATTATTTAATGCTCGATCTCCAGTTGACAAGAACTCTATCTTCTTCTTCACAGGTTATTTGCTTACTCTGTGGCACTGAACAAGAGGTGTGTTCTAACTCTTATGCTTTCCTCTGAACTTTGGCTGCTTTTAGTAATGAGAGATTTAGTGGTCCATTGTCAAAAAAGATGTTATCAAACATTGTCGTAACTTCGTCGAAGTATTAACTCCTCTGTTGTCTCTGGCATTCACCAGGTTCGTCAAACTTGTATTAATTGCGGAGTGTGCATGGGGAAGTACTTCTGTGAAGTCTGCAAGCTCTATGATGATGATGTAAGTTTTCTAAAGATTTTTTTTCTCCTAGGCTTGTTTCGTTGTATTCATTCTATTTCTTTCTTACAGACTACGCCTTAACATTTCCAGGCTTCTTTATTGTTGCTGATTAACCCAATTATGTTGCTATCTTGTTTGCAGACATCTAAGAAACAGTATCACTGCGACGGGTGTGGAATCTGCAGGTACATTCTTGGACTCCTCTATAACATACACGTTTGATTTACTCAATACGCTATAAATATGTCTAAAACTAAAATCTTACTTCTTTCATTCCAGAATCGGTGGGCGTGAAAATTTCTTTCACTGTTATAAGTGTGGTAAGCCATCCTTCGGCATCAGATTACCTCTAAGTTTTCAAGCTGGAGATTGTACAATCTAACCCTCTCTCTGACTCTAAACCAGGCTGTTGTTATTCAATCCTTCTCAAGGACAGTCACCCTTGTGTTGAAGGAGCAATGCATCACGATTGCCCCATTTGTTTTGAGGTAAAAACTTTTTGTCGTTTTTCGGTTCTACTGATCCATCGTAATTATTAAAAAAAAAAAAAAAAAAAAAAAAAACTGTACTGGCTGGTTTGTCTTTTACAGTTCCTGTTTGAATCACGTAACGATGTGACGGTGTTGCCATGTGGACACACAATCCATCAGAAGTGCTTGGAGGAGATGAGAGAACATTACCAGTAAGTATAAACAACTCAGGTCCCGTTTTCAAGAGTTGTTGTCATTGTAGATATCTTCGAACCTGACGGCTGTAAACTAATGCCTGCAGATACGCGTGCCCACTTTGCTCAAAATCTGTATGCGACATGTCAAAGGTGTGGGAGAAATTTGACGTGGAGATTGCTGCTACACCAATGCCAGAACCATACCAGAACAGAATGGTCAGTCTGAGCTTTACTCTCACACTTTATTCTTTAACCAAGTAAAGAAATCAAAATCAACAGATTGATTTTATTGTCTAAAATCTTTTGATGGAGACAAAACAGGTTCAGATTCTCTGCAACGATTGTGGGAAAAAATCGGAGGTACAATTCCATGTGGTGGCTCAGAAATGCCCAAACTGCAAATCATACAACACTCGCCAAACCCGAGGCTGAAGCTGGCTTTTTGTAAGCATGGCGTTTTCAAGTTTGTTATCAGATGCATTCAAGAGCAAAATTCACTTGAGCCAATTGTGCTGTCGTTGGCTCCTTAACCTTAGGACTCGTCTCTCGACTCTTATCTCTTCACTCTCTTCTTTAATATTCTCGGTCTAGTCTCTTGTTAGCTTGTGTTCTGTAATAATAGTCTAGTTACTATCCATTATAATATTGTCTCCTTTGTCCCAACTCTGAGTTATATCAAAGTACATGGTTTATTTAAAACAAAGGTATCGAACAGTCAACAGTGAACAAAGAGCTAGTATGCATGAAAATCACATTTACCATTCAATGATTATCGAAGTCTTAGAGCTAGAAAAAAATTTATTAGTTTCATGTATTTTTAAAATTTAAAATAAAAAATAAACAAGAAACAAGTGTGATATGGTGTTATCAAAAAATTCTCAAAAGGTTTACAGTTTTCTCTCTTATTTGTTTCATTACTAGCCTTCGTAGACATTTCGCAAAAAGAAATTAAAACGGTCATAAACACACCTCGACTATTAATATATTAGTAACCAAAGTTAGTTTTGAACACATTATTATGAGAATCACATGGATCTCCAATTTTAAAAGACATAAAATATTATATGCATATTAACAAAACATGAAAATTTTCTCACCTTTATTATATTTTACTCATATTTTGCATATGTTTTACATAAGTTTGTCAATATATTTTATTTTTGTTATTTCATTTTTTTTGTAAAATAGTAATAAATTACTAATTGGCTTAATCGTCTGATCTAAAGTTGAATTCGGATCTATTCTTGTATACTAGAAACAACACTTAGGCATCTACACAAATTCAAACTTACAACAACACATTAACACGCGCACAAATCACAAAACGTATACCACACGGAAACCAAAACAACAAACAACAAATCCCTCCAAATAGATCAACTTCACACCATATCGATCTGGATGATCCGTTTACAAAGAGAGAACGAACCTAAATACAGAAACGTTAGAAACAATGGCAGATATCGTAAATAAGTTGAGATAATGTTTAGTTTGGGCTTCGGATTCTTTCTTCAATTCCCGAGCCCAATAAAGGCCCACTCCACTTAGCTTGAACTTGTTGCACACGGAAACTACAACAACAAACAGCAAAAGAGGAGAAATCCTAGACCATCTCGACGTCTCCGCGAGATTTGGAGGATTCGGTTACCTTTTCTGTACCTCTTGAAGCATCAGAAGATGAGATACCCAACACAAATGATCCCAAAGAGTATCAAGAAGATGAGATAAAATTCTTTGGGATCGACTCTATTAATTCTCGTACTGCAGAGCCGTGTCTACAGTGTATTCAAAAAGACATTTGTTTCAGGTAACCAATAATATAAACATTTTATGACTAATAAATCTTAAAATATTAGTTATCAAAGTGGCATTGGAAAGTGTGTTTTTTCTTCCAAACCTGAGTTCGACCTATTCTAAGAATGGATCCTATCGATTAAGAGAAGGAGACGAGAAGAACAGAAGAAATGGAGATTAAAGGCCAAGAAGGGGAAGAAGCTTAGGTGGAGTTGAGAGAATAACTCTCTTTACTTAATTGATCATAATTCGAGATTACAATTCGATAAAACGATTACAGAGATAAACTCTAGCTAGTAGAGCTATATAGAGATAAATGGAATTAAACGATATAATCTAATAAAGGATTGTATCTTCATATTGTTCAGTTTCAGAAACTTAGACTGCTCCGTTGTGCTGTTCTCTGTGTAAAGAATTAAAAAGAAAACGATGAAGATGATTAGACAAAAAGGCTTCAGATAAATTCAAGGCTTCAAACGATATTTATGTTACTTTTATTATATTTTGCTCATGTTTTGCATATATTTTACATTTATTATGTTTATTTTTGTCAATTTATTTTATTTCTTATCTCATTTTTATGTAATATAGTGTATTAATAAAATTTTATGTTAGAAGAGGTTTTGTATTTGGGAGGGAACAATATGCATCTCATGATTCAGTGTCTTGTGATATCGTTTGAGAACAGTTGATGGTTGGTCTTGATGCTTATACCACTTATTCTATCTTAATACTTAAACCAATTATTTGACATCACATAACAGCAGACTCTATTTAAATGAAAGTTATAGATACTAACATGAGAAGAGTTCTAGAAATGACCCACGGTCCAGTGGCATGATATACCCAATGCATTTGGGAGATGGAGTTTTCATCTCTGTATATGTATATTAATGGAATGCAAAGAGTATACACAATGAGTTACGACTTATATAATTTTGTTATTTACCCCGACTTTAATATTCGCTAGTAATTAAACATGAAAAAGCATACAGAAGTGCATTAAATACATATTAATTATAGTTGTATAGAGAGTCAGAGATTTATATGATACCAATTCCATGAAGCCAAAAAGTAGTAATTCTAAAAATCTCGAGAGATGATCATTTTATTTATCATATTTGGTTTGTTATCATACCATTTTCGTTTGTGTTATGAATCTTGATCATTCTTTCCAATTCGTTGAGTTGAAATAGAGCGAATAGCAAAGTTGCTTTAAACAATATTGGAATTAAACGAAAGCTTCCCTTACAAATTTGGATTTAAGAACAGAGAAGAAAACCAAGTATATAAAAGAAACTTTGAAATCTACGATGAAAGCATAACTAAGCCTCCAAACTAAGCTTTGCAAAAAGCTAATTATTTGCTTGCGTCTCACTCTGACTCGACGATGAAAGCTACAATGTTTTCACCGCAAGCCATCGAGAAGAGGCTTGAGCTTGTCAACAAGATCATCAAACAAATCAGGCCTATGCTCTTTGGCAATTTCCAGAGTCTTTAACAAAACTGGATTCCCATATTCATCATTAGCCAATCTCACCAGCGTATCTTCATCAGAGTTGACAATCTCTGTCACCATAAAAATCAATGCCAACCCTTCATCTTCACCTAGAAGCTTCTCCACGATGTTGGTAAAGCTCAATGTAGTGGCACTGAAGCCCACTCGCCATGAACTTTGTACAGTCGGACTCGTGTAAATCAATCGCGTTTTGTACCCATAAGTTTCCATCATGTTCCTTTGCTATGTAGAGAGCGTTGTATCCATTTAGGCGTAGGATTTGATCAAAAAAATCCAAGTTTCCTCTTTCCTTGAGAACGTTTACGGTTCGTACCACGATTTGCTGACCGTAATGGTTGGTTACAACATCGGTGTATCTTTGCTTGATGGCTTCCGAAAAAACTCTGTCGGTTTCTTCTGATTTTCCTAGGATTATCTGAGCCATGAGCGAGCCTCGTGTTGTTTTGACAAACTCGACAAAGAGATCAGAATCTGACGTCAGCTTCCAGGCGAACCTATGAAGCTCTACGGGATCAGATGTCGGGAGAATCTCATCAAACTCTGCCAATACCTCGTGCAAGCGCGTGTTGTCTTGTGTGGTTCTCTGTGTAAAGTCGAGGTTAAGCACATGTTGGATTAAGGAGATCCCAAAATCGCTCGTGCTTAGCTCGTAAGCATTCGCTGCGAATAGGTCAATGAAATCAGATTTGAGGAGATCATCAGCCATTGTTGTAGCTTTCTTGAGTAGGTTGCAACCGTTTTCGTCACGCGCTAAGACACGGGCGTCACGGTACGTGATTTTACAAAACATGTTCTTGTCATCAATGTCGCAAACCTCTTGGACTCGTGACACCCAAAGAAACCAGTCGTCGTCAAGTTTTCCGGAACTAGCCATTAGTCTGTGGCGGCCATTGATGTGGTCGTAGATGCTCTCCATAATTGGACGGAAATAAGTCGGAAGAGTTTTCTGTGTGTTGTTTTGTATATTGGATGTTATAGATCAGTAATGATATATGCATATATTTATAGACTTGAGATTCGTTAGAGTTTTCCATTTTCTTGGTCGTCCTAAAATTGTTAATTTTCTCATTAGTTCATATTTTTCCATAATCATAATCATCTTGGTTTAGGTGTTTTGAATTCCATTCTCAACGTTAAACAAATGGTACCATTATTTTCTTTTTTTCTTATAAAATACTAGGAATGGTCCCCGCTTTGCGGGGTTAATCTGTGGTTTATTAAAAATTAAACAAAAATTTATTTAAAATAATTATAAGTAAAATATATATAATAAAAAATGTAAACATTCAAAACAACTTATAATTATTAAAAGAAAAAGATATTTTCATGTTTTTTTAATTATTAACAATAAATTCTAAATGGAAATGTACAAACTAATTATGATAAAAATATGTAAATTTTTACAAAATTTTCTAGGATTGTTATTATTAATTATTAATAGAAAAAATAAAAAAACTGAAAAATAACAAGATACACAACTTTTTAAGAGTGTTAAAAAACGTTATAATGAAAAAATATAATTATTAAAAATTTGTATTCGCGCAAAAATGTAAAGTAAAAAATAAATATACAGGCAATCTTTCAAAAAAAATGTATAAAACTATACATTTATTATTGAAAAGTTAGAAACAAAAATTTATGATAAAAAATTGATATTTGTTAAAAAAATACTACAGGAAATATATGTAATAAAAAACAATGTAACGAGATTTTATAATACATTTTCTAAGACTACTATAGTTTCTAAAAAAGATTCGTAATATTAAAAAGTATATTACAAATATAATAGTTAAAATATAAAAACTTTGATACCTTAAAATGCATATATAAAATATATGTGAATTCGTTACATTACATAAATATATTTCTCTCAAATTAGAAAAAAGAATTCAAATATCAGGTATATTAAATTTATAAACAACTAACAAAGAATATTAAAATTTGAAAATAACACAATTAACTATAAATATATAGATATTTTTCATAAAAAATAACATAATATATATTAGTAAACAAAAAATATATTATATTTTATAATAAAAATATCATTAGATTTTGTTTGAATAAATTTTATTTTTCTGATAATGCATATAAAACAATTTTGTAATGAAACTGCTTATATTTTAGCCAAAACTAAACCTCCAAATAGAATTTTTTACTATGATTCAATATCTGAACCTCCAGGACTTTTAAACATTTTTTATCATGATAACATATTATGATAAATAAATATGTTTACGACAAAATAAAATTCACCATAGTAAGAAAGTAAAAGTTAGACCCAAATGATTTTTTGTGGTTTTGAGCAATATAAATAGTTTAAAAAAGATACAAATAAGAATTGTGTCCAAAAAATGCAACCATTTATAATGAAAAGATGCAACCGCAAATTTTGAAACGACACAACTTTTTAAAGTGTAAATGGAATTTATTCGGATTGTTAACAAAAAAAATTAATAACATAATATATATTAGTAAACAAAACACATAATTTCTTGATAATAAAAATATCATTAGATTTTGGTTGAATAATTTTTTTTTCTGATGTAATGCATGTAAAACATTTTTGTAATAAAACTTATCATATTTTAGCCAAAATTGGACTCTCAAATGGAATTTTTTTACTCAAATTTAATATCCGAACCTCTATGAATTTTAAACACTTTGTATCATGATAATATGTTATGATAAATAAATAAGTTTACGACAAAAAAACTCAGTATAGTAAGAAAGTAAAAGTTAGATCCAAATAATTTTTTCTGTGATTTTGAGCAATAAATAATTTAAAAAAAACACAAATTACAGTTGTGATAAAAAAATGAAACTATTTATAATGAAAAGATACATCCACAAATTTTGAAACGACACAACTTTTAAGTGTAAGTGGTATTTATTCGGATTGTTTGCGACAAAAAAAACCCACCATAGTAAAAAAAAAAGTAAAAGTTAGACCCAAATAATTTTTATTCTGTGGTTTTGAGCAATATAAATAGTTTTGAAAATACACAAATAACAGTTGTGATGAAAAAATACAACCATTTATAATAAAAAGATGCAACCTTTTATAATGAAAAAACGCAACCACAAATTTTGAAACGACACAATTTTTTAAAGTGTAAATGCATTTATTCGGATTGTTAAGAAAAACTAAATAACATAATATATATTAGTAAACAAAACACATATAATTCCTTTATAATAAAAATATCATTAGATTTTGGTGGAATAAATTTTATTTTTCTGATGTAATGCATGTAAAACAATCTTGTAATAAAACTACTCATATTTAGCTAAAATTGGACCCCCAAATTGAATCTTTTACTCAATTCAATATCTGAACTTTCAGGACTTTTAATACTTTGTATCCTAATAATATGTTATAATAAATAAATAAGTTTACGACAACAAAAACTCACAATAGTAAGAAAATAAAAGTTAGATCTAAATAATTTTTTCTGTGGTTTTGAGCAGTATAAATAGTTTTGAAAAGATACAAATTATAGTTAATGAAAAAATGGAACCATTCATAGTGAAAAGATGCAACTATTTGTAATGAAAAGACACAACCATAAATTTCAAAAAGACACAATTTTTCAAAGTGCATTTGGTATTTTTTCAGTTTGTTATTATAAATTTCAAAAAAACACAATTTTTTAAAGTGCATTTGGCATTTTTTTCAGTTTGTTATTATAGATAGATAAAAGAAGGCAAATTTCCTTTTAAAACATTATTAATCAGAATCCAAGTGAGATTCATTCGAGTTTCCATATTTTCTAATTAAGTAGTCCTAAATCTACAAAAACTGTGAATTGGTTTCGTGTTTTCTCATTGATTCATATTTTTCCATAATCATCTTGGTTTTTGTAAAATTATGAATTGGTTTCGTGTTTTCTCATTGATTAATATTTTTCCATAATCGTCTTGGTTTTTTGTTCATACTTCATAATATAAGAATTTCCTTTTTTCTTTTCTTAATAGGAGTTTCCTTTTTCAACGTTAGACAACCATATTGCTTAAAATATGAGAAAATGAGAAAATGGGAAATTGCTTAAAATCAGTCTGACTGACGAAGATCATTTTACAAATTTATTCTTGCTTCCGTTCCGAAATCTCTCTCTCTCGGCGATAATGGCGGAATCACCGTCGCACAGTGGCGCGCAGGTTGTTGCTCATCAACCTCCTGATCAGCAAGCTGAATCGGATCTGGCGTCTCTCGTATTCGGTTTGTTTTCACCCTCTTCCTGTGATCCTTTTCGTTTATTAGCGAATTTAGACTGACCTAGGAATCAGGAATCAGTGCGAGTTCCGATGTCAGACTCGTTCATCATCTTAGGGAAAGTTTATAAACCTACTGGTTCTTCGTGAAAACCATGAAATGAAATGCTCTGTGATTTGGTATCTAGCTAGTTTGTGCTTAATCGATTGATCTCAAGTTGAATCCGGATTTCACTCTTGTGGTAATACTCTTGGCGAATCGAAATGTATATCAGAAACTCTTAGTGAATTCACGAAAAGCTACTGATTCTTTGTGAAAATTATGAAATCAAATGTTTTTACAGTATGAAATTTAACGAGTTTGTGCATACTTTTGGCTTAATCGCTTGTTCTGAAGTTCAATTCGCATTTCTTCTTGTGCTAATCCACCTGTAGCGCCATTGTTACTTGCTTCTCTCGTGAAAAAAACTGTAGCTGATTTTGTAGTTTCTCAATAGATACTCTTGAACTACTGTTACTTACCATATATTCCAAAAACAACTAATTAAAATGGAAGATGTCTATTATCGTTGCTTCCATCAATTTTTGTTGTTCAGATTGTGTTTGTCGTCGCTTCACTATCCATATCTCTTTGCATGAGCAGACATCTAAGTCGTTTGAAGGTGTAAATCATTTACTGTTTCATGGATTGGATCATTGGGTGGAGTGAGATGAGATTGCATTTCATTGTTTTCTACATTTCTTCGTTGTTCAACTTTCTAGCCATGTCCTGATTTGTTGCAAATTTTTTGCAGAAATGTCACAGCAAGTTCAGATGGGAATGGAGAATATGCTCAAGTTGGTCAAGTAAGTATGTCTCTGTCCTACCACAACAACTAATGGCTACTGCTGAGTGCTTATCTAGTGCCTCTCTATTGTTGGTTTGACAAATCCTGGCAGTGAGATCGATCAAAACTCTGTTGGAATCAAGGAAGAGATTGAGAAATCAAAGGATTTTGCTATGGAGAAGAAAAGGGTTCTCGAGGAAGAGAAAGAACAGTTTCAGAAAGCTGCTTACACTATTCTAGACATGCTGAGCAACCGAGGCTAACATGCGGTACTCGATCGATTATAACATACTCTTTGTTTTGACATGAAACTGCAAAATTCAATATAAACCTGATCGGTTCCTCATTTCTCATGTAGCAGGGAGATGCATGCTCTGGAGAAATACTCTATCAGGTAGAAGAAATATTATAAATGTCATAAAGACTCTCACTGGTTTGGTTTTGTATTAAGCTTGACACCGAAAGTTTTATCACAACAAGTGCGAATACAGAAAGTATAAGTGGATAAAAATTCATTAGGGTGAGTTTGACATACACCCCTTATTGTCAGTATATTCGGATATTGAAGTGAAAAAACCATAAAACAGATAACAATTGAACAAGGATTTGGTCCACATGTAGTATGTAATTTTATATTTCGAGTTTGAGAGTAAGCGGATCAGAGATTGAGATATTCGTTTTTGACCATACGTTATTTATGATTAGACTTATATAGTATAAGGAGTCAATGATGTACTGTTCAAGTCTAGTCAAAAAGAATTTGCACTGTTCAAAGTACAATCTTCTGTAAGCGGAAAGACATTAAAGCCGTACTGAATTTTTTGTTTGTTTTTGGTCAAAAGGAGGAGGGAAAAAAGAACAAAAATGAAAATAATTATTACCCTAGGGTGTTGTAGAATAAATAGTAAATTGTAAAATCGTCCCTCCTTTGGCGGGAGAATTTCCCAGAATTTCTCCGTTTTACACCCATTCATCATCTTCTCTTCTTCCACTCTCTCTCTCTCTCTCTCTCTCTCTCTCCCCGAAAATGGTAACGCTCCGCCAGAGGACAACGGTCGCGACCCAAGAACCCGAGCCGGTGATGAAAGAAGAAGGACTCTGCGGCGACAACTTGACGATTGTGGTGGACGACGATTCGTCCACCGACTCAGCAGTGAAGCACTTGCGTGGACGCTGGGAACTTGCTTCCGTTCTTAATTTTTTCAATGTTCGCTTCTACCTTTTTCCTTAAATAACCCAAATTATTCGATTTCTCTTTTTTTTTTTCAGGCGAATCTTCGTTTTACATTTACTTTGTTTGTTCACACCGAACATTTTCTTCCATATTTTTCCATCTACGGGTTTAGATTCTAGAGATTCTGCTGCTCGGTGCATTAATTTCACGGGAAACTAAACATTTCTGAGATTGGCGTTAGGATGTTTTCCCTCATTGAGATTTTTTTGTTGCTGTTGTGACAGGTCTTTGCACCACTTGTCTCTGATAAATTGAAGCTAACAGCTGAAGAAATTGAGATGGGTCTTATCGATTCCAACTCCACAAATGCTCAGCTTCACATTGCACTTTTAAAGGTTCTTCATTTCACCTGTTATTGACCTTAAAAAACATATTTGCTGGTGTGAATGTGATTTCTAACAAAGCCCTAGTTTATAAAACTCTTCTGAATCTCTCTATGAGTCTCCTCTTTTGTCATCATGCATACAAGTGTGTTTATTGTCTTCCACAGGGGATACCACCGGTAAATAAAACCCTTGACGATGGAGATGCATGGATCACGGTGTTGTGTAAGACACTCGATCCATGGTGGCCATGGGTAAGCCCACACTGAACCCTTTTTTTCTTGTAGCTCGTTTCATCTTTGGAAAAAAGTTTTGTTTTTTCTTATTGATCGACTCCTGTAATGCCATTATTGCAGATTGCTAAGGGTGACATTCCTATAACCGCTAACAAAGGGTATTTGGTGAAATGATGTCGATTTTCTGCATTATGTAAATTTTATTTTTGATATTCAGGTTGAAATGGTATTGCCTAACAACTTTCTTCTCTCCTGCTGTATGGATAGGGAGGAAATATCTGAGTACAAAGGACTTGACCCTATTAATCGCCTGCAGCTTCTGAAAGCACTTTGTGAGCTTCGAGTCCAAGTAATTTCTTCTTGCCTTTTAGTTGTTGAACTATATACAATTATATAAATGCATGCCTCTTTGGTTTACATATCATCATTAGTTGCATTTGTTACTTAAAAGTTTTATCTTTTTGTTTCCATTTGGTTGATGGTATTAGCAAGATGATGCTCGTGCGTATATTCAAGAGAATGCCAAGGAAGGAGCCTCTGATTCATGTATCCGCAAAAGGAAGTTAGGAGGAGATGGAAAGAAGACTTCTTACTGGTAGTTTACATGTCTTATTACTTCTTTCTATAGTATTTTTTTACATTAGGTGTGATGAACATTTATTGTTTTCTCGTTTCTAGGTTTGATGGTAATGACATCCAGGGTTACAGACTATATAGGGAAGTCAATGAAATCTCAAAGAGCGCAAAAGCAAAGAAGAATGCATGCTCTGATCTATCTTGTTGCTGCTGGGAAACTGAAGCAACTACTCTAGATGAATTTCAAAGAGTCGCTGTAAGCTTTTTGTTTGTGCTTTCTACTCTTTTAAGATGTGTGGAATCGTTTTTAACATTCATTGATAATAATATGCTGTAATTGGCAGGGTGAGTTATCATCAAGCAAAGCTTCTTCTTTGGCTGCTATCGGCAAGTTGATTGAGACAGATGCTATACCCATTGTTGAGAAATATCAGAAAGTATTTTTTGTCTACTCTTAGCTACATCCCTTAACTTCGTTTTTAAAAGCTTATGCACATCTGCTATATCATGTTTCATAACGGTGTTTCGATTCCTTTTGCAATAACAGAAGAAAGAAAGGGCCATCAAAAAGAAAATGAAGCAGGAGATGGCCGTTAGAGTCAGTTTCTCCCGTCCTATCCGCACCACCCGTTCTTGTCGAAACCGCATGCCCGCTACTTACACCTTTGGTAAACTCATATTTACTTGTGTTTGTTCATCTTATTTTTGGTATGTTGTTTACTCGTTAGCGTGGCTTATTCGTTTGCATATCTTATCATGCAGACGCGTATGACAAAATGATCAGTGATGCTGTGGAGGAGACAGAGTAAGAGCTTCACTGCTTTGTCAAGCGAATATATCTATCCATCATTACTTATCAGATAATATTTCCATTTGGGTTAAATCAACTCTCAAATAATCTGATGAACTAGAATGGAACCACTATTGATCCCACCTGACCTGATTGTAGAACTTGGAAAACATCAAAATATTATTGATCATTGGAAACCTCTATAGCCTGATGAGTTATGGAACTGCCAACATTCTCTATAGCTCATTACTTTCCGTCTCTTCCAGTATGAGAGATGCAAATTGATTTAATAACTGCTTAGAGTCGGTTTTGATTGGAGAGCTTAGCATGAGGAAACTCATCATTCACTAATTTTCTTGACCAGGGAAACGGATCGAGATGATGAGGAAGGAAATGAGCAACAAAGTGCCTCATTGGTGGTTTCAGAAGACAGTTCTGAAGGTAAGAAGATGAAGTCAACAGAGGGTGTTACAGAATCGGAGGAAGAAGCGCCTGAAAGCGAAAATGGTGATGTAAAAGAGATCGAGAAAAGCAAGGAAGACTCAGAGGGAAAGAGAGAGTTCGGTGCCAAAAACAGGCTGAGACAAAGAGTGACGAGGAACTCTGCTCTCTGCTAGTTAAAACGTCAAGGTTTGAGAAAATGGTAAAAGCTTTCGTCTTATTTTGGATGTTGGTGGAGAGAACAGGCTTTTTGATTAGTTAGAGGGGGTTTTGGGACTTGGGAGATGGGTTTTTATTTTGTTATATGTACTACAACCACAGCAAACAATGTAGATCATACTCTTATTCACCATCTAATATGGTCAAATTATCTAAGAAAATACTTCAGTCTTCAAGGATATTTGTAGTATCGTATTTATTAGTATTACAACATTTTAATTATGTATAGCATATAGTACGATCTGTTTGTAAAAGTCAGGGTGGCCGAGTGGTCTAAGGCGCCAGACTCAAGTTCTGGTCCTCGAAAGAGGGCGTGGGTTCAAATCCCACTTCTGACAATCATTTTTTTAAAAAAATTTGGGCTGTTTCTTATACGAAAATCGTGTTTATTACAGCATTTGGGCCCTTTTTATGACAACATTTGGGTCCATTTATGGCAACAATTGGGCCCATACATGGCAACATTTGGGCCCCATTTAGTAACATTGGGCGATGAAGAAAATGCGTAATGTAGTAGTGTCTTAAGGTTTTCTGCAAGAGGTTTTTAAGTTAAACTTCTACAAACTATTCATCCAAACAATTAATTTCTTCAATTTTTTGGGTTTTTTCTTATACGAAAATCGTGTTACTCGGGCAACAGTTGGGCCCTTTATGGCAACAATTGGGCCCTTTATGGCAAACAATTGGGTCCATAAATGGCAACATTTGGGCCCATTTAATAACATTAGCCGATGAAGAAAATGCGTAATGTAGTTCTGCAAGAGTTTTTTTAAGTTAAAACTTCTACAAACTATTCATCCAAACAAAGATTTTTTCTTAATACATAAGCAGAAAGAGATTTTTTAATCTTTGGTCTAAAGACTGGTTCAAGAAGATACAGTGGCTTTCTGAGCCTGCGAAATGATTCTGAGCTTCTCGTATGAGTCAGCACAAGCGTGGGCATAATCAGAGAGTGCCCTGAAGATCTCCGGCAATCTGATCTTCAAACTGTTGAGAGATTTCTCTCTCACCTGAACACAATGTCTCTGGTGAGCTTCTTCTTCGTCTTCAAGCCTTTTCTTCAGTGTCTCCACAACGATTCTCCTCTCCGTGACATGATCTCTGCTGCTTGCGTCTTCCCCATCTTCACCTTCCTCCGTTGGTCCTCTTTTCTGCAAGTGTTTCTGATACCACTCCTCAAAGCCTTGCTTCTTCCTTATAAACTCCCTTCTGGTTTCTTCGCACTTCTCCTTCAGCTTCATCTCTTCCTCCTGATGAAGCAAGATCGTTTTGATGACTGCAGCGAAAGACGAGATAGCTGATTTGGCGACCTCATCGGGAAGTTTCTCGAGACGGTCGTGCCACGAGTGGAGGAGTGCTTGGATTGGCGGGCGCTGAGGCCTTGGAGGAGAGGAAACCTTCTCTTTAAGACTGCTCTCGATGGGGATAAGGTTTAGCTTCAACCAGCTGTTGAGAGAGTTAATGTACTGCTTCTGGTGGGTCACGAGTCTATCGAACTGAACATGCCATTCCTCCAAGACGGTGCAGAACTGACGTGTCTGTTGGTGATGTAGCTTCGTGGTTTCTTTCTGAGAAGTTGAGATCTCAAGTGATTTTAGCTCTCCAACAATCTGTAGTTGCGTGTCATGTTGTATGCACATGTTTGTCCACATCTTCGCCATCCTGCAGATCTCACAAAGTTGAGAAAACTGATTAAAAGAAGACTAAAAGCTAAAATATGCTTTGCAGAGAATCATTTGAAGGAGAGAATAATTTACCCTTCGACTAGGGAGACAAGTCTTGGATACAATTGGTCATCCCTTAAACGGTTTACTTCTGAGACCGTTGAATCCATAGATTGCATGTCAACGATATATCTCGTGTGTAGATGACTCACGGCCGCCTTTGTTTTCTCCACGGTTTCTGCACTCGCACCTCTTTTTTTATGCCTGTTGAGTAAAGATACCTTTTTCTGATACTCTATCTTCATAAGCTCACCTTGCTACAGAATGAAACACCACCACCAAAGAAAATTGCATTCAACATACTTTACACTTCAGGTAGAAATGATGAGCTTTGAGTTATTACCTTCACTTCATCATAGAGTTTCTTCTCCCATGCTAACAATTTGTCCAACACCGTCGCATGAGTCTCATGTTCATCTGATTCTTGATCATCTTTTCCACCTTCACCATTGGAAATGCCTCTTAATGATTTATTCCAAGTTATAACCCGCATTACCCTAGCAGAATGATCAACATATCCTGAAAAAAAACGAACATTTATCAGGAAAGAGCATTTTTAGCAACAATCGTCCAAGAAACAGGCAACATAATCAAATTCCATCAGACTTTAGCCCCACAAGAAACGCTCTCCGATAGAGACAGATTTGGTAAGATAATAGCAAGAAAAGGGGGTCAAAGTGTTAATTAGTCAAATTCAGAACTTTGTTTAATGGCTTTGAACGAAAAATAAAACAATCTATTAATTTAAGGTTCATCTTAAGATTCTCACAAAAGTTAAACCACACACAAATGTCAAAGTAGGCAGACCAAAAAGTGTATCAGAGATTCATACTTTAAGAATATTGCAGACTGTACTAAAACCATGATCCGATCTACAAAAAAAAAAAAAAAAAAAAACTCTTTCTCAAAACTTTGGTTTTCCTTTTCATTGTTTCAATTAGAGAAACAAAGAATCAAACTTTATAACCAATCCTATCACCCACACATTATGAATCACCTAAGAAAGCAGCAACCGAAGTTTTGATCAAAGCTAAGGGAATAATTAAAATGTCTCATATGAAGTGATCTTAAAAGGACCTTAACCCAAATAGTTGACTAGACCGCACTAAATCAGTGAGAATTTTGGGTTGGAAACTCAATAAGATTCACCAAATTGAAAGAGAACACACTAAAATGGTTCAATCACATGGACAAGTCTAGCCAAGAAACCTATATCAGAGAGGAAAAATAACGACTTTAGTACCTCGATTATCTGCAAAATTCGAGTGATAATGAAGCCTTGTTGCTTCCAGCATTTTGGAGACTTCCTGGGCGCACTCTGACGCTTTGAGGAACCGATCATCAATCTCATCCAGAATCTTCATCAAATTCACGTTTGATGCAGCGGTATTGGCAACCGCACGCCGGAACTCCGCTGGAGCGGTGACGGAATGCTCAATCTTAGCTTTCCCTTTCTTTTTCTTCTTCGCCTCTGCCATCACTGCATCCTCTTCTTCCTCTTCTTCCTCCTCTTCTTCATCTTCGTCTTCCTCTTCTTCTTCTTCTTCTTCTTCTTCAACTTCTTCCACTTTCTCCGGCGTTTTTGGCTCCATTTCCTCGACAACTTTGTGACCTGAGTTCTTACGGAATATGCCAGATCTTTCTTCTTCTTCTTCCTCTTCATTGAACTCGAAATGATGATTGTTCTGAGTCTGATACCCGTTCCCCATTTCCCTATCGTCTAAGTTAGGTCCAGGCACATTCTCCACCATGAAAAAGTAATCCCAAGCCATACTATTCGCCGGCGAGGCACTCGCAATCTCCGGCGTCTCCGGTCGCTTTCTACCATTTCCAGCATTCTCCGGCGTTCTGGGCGAAGACTGTTCATCCTCCTTACGAGCGGCGGCTCTAGCGCCGTCCTTCACTCCCTCATCTTCCTCCTCTTCCTCTTCCTCTTCATCTTCCTCCTCAATCGCCATGGAATCCACAGTACGAAGCTTCCTACCTCTAACCGCCATGGCAGGCAAGCTAATGGCGCGCTTAATCGGAGAAGGGGAGAATTTAGGGAGAGGAGGAGGAGGAGGAGGGAGATTCTCAATAGGCGGAGGCGGAGGAGGCTGAGGAGCAGGATCCACGGTGCGGTCCTTCTGTTGCTGGTAATGGCTTTGATCCAAGACGTCAAGGGTCTGATCAGATTCGCCATGGCCATAGTCACTGAGAGCAGCGCCAGTGTTCTTCAAAGCAATGGCGTAGGCGAAATGACCGGCGGCGAAGGCTTTGCTAGCCGCAACCGCCTCCTTGATGACGTTCCGGCGATCCTTGCATCTCGCAACCGCCTCTTCGTTATCAACCCTAGATTGCGCACACCCCATTATACCCCCCCACAAGTGAAGTGAGATTTCTGAAAGAAAGATTGAAATGAAAAAGAGAGTACTGACAAGGAGGGACAAAGATACACAGAGAAGAGAGAGAGAGAAGAACTGATATTTCCCACGCGCCGAGAGTGGAGATGTCTTATGTACTCGCTCTCTCATGGTATAGTGGTGTCTTGTCTGTATATTCATATTTTTTTAAAAAAATAGGATGAGCTAACGGTCACATATCTCAACGCACTACGTCGTCGTCTTGTACACCTTTATTACACGTAACGTTTTGCATCCATCGAATCAATCGACACTAACGAAAAGGTTTTCTTTTTTCTTTTGGTTTCCTTTTTAGAATCATTAGAGTTTGATATTTCTACAATGAACTTTAAAGAGTTTGGTCTACAGTTACATCCCAATTTTCCCCAAATAAAAAGAAGAAGAGATATTTTGAGACTACAGTTGAATCAGCTGTGCCTAAACAGCTGTGAGAGATAAGAAACTAAAAGTTAATTTCCTGCACATTTTGATCGAAATTTTATATCTAGAGAAATGAATTTGTCGTTGAAAGTTAGTTGGGGTCGGACACGACGGCATCATGTTCTTGGTATGATATATAACATCAACCAAACTATCAAAATCTCGTCACTGTTATTGTGTGTGTTCTCCTTCTCATGTCCAATTTCTTGATTCTTCAACACAAGATAATCAAACTCCATACTAAGTGACAGAGACACAGCTTCTCCAGTGGGACTTTTTACTTACACTAGACGATGCTGAGACTAAGCATAGTTTGGCTTAAAATCCATCTTCAACTTCCTTTTCTCTTCCAATTGTCGCTACATAAAACGTAGAAAGATTTACGATTCAGACTAAAGAAGTCAAAGAAAGTACATTGAATTGCTACTACAGTAGTACTACACTTTCTATAAATAAAAAGTTATCTTAACCCGAACTACTAGTAGCTCCAATTGCACGTTTAACACTAAAGAATAAACTCTTTCAAAGATTTCGGTATCGGTTTCTTGTTTACCTCGTATAACCTTTTCCAAGTCAGCTCGTATCTGTCTAGGTGCAAGCCCCATTCCAATGCCAATTCAAAGTCAAGGGTGTTAACCTGAGAGGAATATGAAGTACCCACCGCATTTGTCTGGACAAATATATTAAAGACAAACGACGGAACATTGTGTTAAGTATCGGTTCCTTTTTACTTGTACGTATTTTAAGGAGAGGAGTACAAACAATACCTTCTCTCGTCGCCTTTGAGCTCTAAGTTTAATATGGCCAGTGAACTGCAATGGAGGCATCCCTGGAGGATCCACCTTAGTAGCAACAAGTGTCCTGTTCAGTAGGGGGAAAAAAGTTCTTAATACAAAAATTCGTATATGCGACTAAGCTTTAATCGACCAGAACAGATATGAAATAAGCATACAAAGTTTGTACTGAATGTATAATGAAATATGCAAATGAATGCCATTTCACTTTTTGTTTCTCTTTCGCATTATCACCTTTAGAAGTTATACAATAAAGGGAACATAGTCAACAATCATGAGTATTACTGCTTCGTGAACTCATGTCTACATTACCAATTAATGTCAACATCAAATTATCCAGTCAGATGAATGGACGTAGCACAAAGATTACCCTTTTCATGTGAATAACTGGAAGCTAAGAGAAAAAGAGGAATATGTCATTTGAAGCCTTACCTTCCATTTGATAGCAACAAGCATCCCTCATCTAGTCTTCTAATTACTCTTTTCGCAGCATCCGTTGTCTTGAATATCACCAAAGCTTCACCTGGATAAAGGTCAATATGAGATGCCATAGCAATGCTTCTTATTCCAGTTGTAGATTTAGATGAGAAAAAATCAAAAGGGAAGAGACTTTCTATTGTCAATTTATGTCGGCCACCATCGCTGTAAAACCAAAGTGAATAGCATCTGGACTTACCAATATGGGGGATAGTAACTGATGTTCGCTCTATCATCCTCGCCGTACATTGCTCATTCAAAGCAGAGTAGACTATATTCTGAATCATAATTCAAAGTTTGTTACATGAAAGTTGCACCAACAAAGATGACGGTTATATCAGTTAAATATATATATGCGATCTTAAGCCTCCGAAAGAAAAAAAGTCTCCAAATTGAATGATACCTCCACTTCATTAGATGAATAACTAGGATCCAAGTTTCGAAGAAGAACCAGATTCCCTTGTCCTTCGGCACACCTGAAATTTTCTTCCCAAGTCTGGGTATGATTTAAACAGTTTAAAAGTCAGTGCGGATGTAAAATCCAGATGGCAATTCCTGATATGATTCAGAATCTGGTAACAACCGAGACTAAAGGAGGCTGCAATGGGTAGCCATACAAGGCGTGAATAAAAAAACTAAGTTGAAGATTCCGAAGAAGCAACTTTAGCTAATTCAGAGTGTAAAATTGATTTTAAGAAAATGGAAATGCTTTCTAACTAGCTTATAACGTATCACTAGAACAGATAAACATGTCACTCCATAGTCTCTATTCACAACATAGAAGAAGCATGCGAGCCCCATACTGAAGGTAAAGCAAACTGGTGTGGAAAATAAGAGAGAAGTACTTACAAGATTTCGGAACCATTTGCTTTCTTCCTGCGATCAAGAAAATGGGAACCAATTAACTGTTTGGCAACAAGTATTGTGACAGATATAATATGACCCAAAAAATATTATATAATACGACAATACATCACTAAAACATACACAGAGGACTGCCTAACAAAAATACCATATGTTTGAAGTTTAAGTTGCTAACAACATACTCCGAGTGAATTTTCGTAAGCAGCCAATTCTAGACCAACGTTATTCAAACTATAGCATGGTTCAGAAACAAACTTGGTTTCATATGTCATATAAAACTTACAACATTCGGCTTTTGGGTCACTTCAAAGACTCGATATTGTCTTGTGTAATTGGCATCGGTCAGCATTTTCTCCTCAGTGTGTTCTGATATTTTACAACCAGAGCTGGGTTTCTTTAATAGACCTTTCTCATTTGCAGGTTTGGTCACTTTTCCTTCAGAAAATCTTGGTATCCGCAGATCTTGATTCTTGTCAGTGAAGCTAGGCTTCTGCGAATATACTTCCCCTCTGGTGACTTTGTCTGCAGGACATTTAAAAGGTTTTACATTTTTTCTACTATCATGGCTTATTTGCTGCGACATTTTTGTCCTTCCATCTGATACTGCAACAGAATCATCTAGCCTCCGTTTCTTTTGAGGCTTGTCATCCAAACAGTAAGAATCTTTACCGCGTCTTTCCTCTGCAAGCCTTGATTTTTCTACCATCGCATCTTTTGTAGTAGGACTTATTTTCTGCAACTCTGTCCTCCTCTCATCTGATGCTGCAAAAGAACCATCTACCCTCTGTTTCTTTTGAGGCATGCCATTCAAACTGTAAGAATCTTTACTGCATCTTTCCTCTGCAAGCCTGAATTTTTCTATCATCGCATCTTTTCTAATAGATCTTCTATCTTTTCTACCATCATGACTTATTTTCTGCAACTCGTTCGTCCTTCCATCTGATAATGCAACAGAACCATTTAGCCTCCGTGCTTTTTGAAGCACGTCATCCAAACAGTAAGAATCTTTACTGCGTCTTTCCTCTGCAAGCCTTGATTTTTGTTTAGCCAATTGATTTTCAACTTCATTGTCTTGGTCTTTCTTTTCATGGCAATCATCTCTCCTGGAAGTAGAAGCGTTACAACCAGAATCCTTGTTACACCCTTCTTCTGCTGCAACTGTAGATTTGTTTCTAGCCAACTGTTTGTGACATTCATTATCTTTTTCTTTCTTGTAACCATAATCGCTCTTCCTATGACCAGAAAAATCACTGACTTGACTTTCATTCTGCCTAACTGAACCCTTAGTTGAAGGAGGATTTGGTTTCAACCTATCTGCAGCCCCTTGTAAGTAAGTTGCTCTAGCTTTTTTCTCACAACTGGTTCTGTTAAAGATAAATTTAACTGCAACAATTAGAGTGAAATGAAGATTCATGAGGTAACAAAGAGTTAGAATATAGCTATCAACCACATAGCTAGAAATGAAAGGGATTAAACTGAGAGAAAACAATATGTACCATCAACTCCAGCGACTTTATCATCATCTATCTTTTCTAAGATCTTGGAAGTTCCAACATCAAAAGATCGGTGGAAAAGGAAGTCGGCCAACTTGATATCTTCATCTGAGGGTTGTGGATTTCTCACGTCCTTGGAGATGCATAGAACGTTACATTTTCCAGAAATTGCTTCCTGGTGTAATAATGTTATATCAATACAACAATTATCCCTTTAAAACAGCTAGACTATGAGTCAGGATGCAATCATTTGACAAAGAATATGCGGGACCAAAACTTAAAGAACAAAAAGGAAAAAAAGAGAATTTTTTTCAGTTACCAATGGGTTTTCATTGGTGAGGCCAACACCTGAACCCGAAGCCAAGAACAGTTCGTTCGCAAGTACATCTTGAACTCCTTGAAGAAGCAACGAAAGCTCACAGGGTTTGAAGAACCAGAGCAGCTCCACTTTCCTTGGGTTTTGGCGCTGATCGTTGTGTTCCCACATGTTTATGATCTTGCCAACAAAGAACTCCGGGGAGTTTGGTCTACGGGCATCGCCAATCGAAACACAGTCATAAAGACGGTACACAGAACCACCGTAGGTGAAAGATTCATAGAACTGGACATCCTTGTTTTCCACACCGGTTCCTCTCTTTTTACCCCACTTAAAGTGTAAGCCTTCAGTTTTTGCTGATTGTTCCATCCTCTCCTATCAAAAGCAGCAGCAGAAAAGGAGCCCACAAATCAGCATGTAACGTCATTTGAACAAAGATTGTAAAAGCAGTAAAAAAGTCCAAGCAAAACTAAAACTGGTGATAAATGCAAAGTGCTTGAAGAATACTAGCCAATACATTGGTACGATATGACAACCAAATAATGAAAATTTAAAGGGAATTGTACAATTCAGAGGATAAAAGATGTTAAATATCAAAGAAACAAAGAAAAAAAGAACTTGAACAGGCCCACCACGAAGAACAGGTACATACGCAATTTCAGAAAATCCAAAAAAAAAAAAAAAAAAACGAGCAATAAACACAGAGTAGATCCTAACAATTTGGCCTTTTCCGCCAATAATGTTTTAAAAATCCATCAATTGATGAGGATCAAGTTTCGGAAACGACGAAAAAACAAAATGCAGCGTAGAGAGAAAACAAGTCAAGTTCCGAGGAGAAAACCCAAAACCATGCGAGTTCAAAAAGCACGGCAATGTACTAGCAAAGAGAAGGTTAAACCTAGAGATTCAAGTTTACCGGCGATAAAAAAAACCCTAATTCCTCGCTAATCCACCACACTCCTTCTCCGGTCTTACTGGCTCGCGCTCCAGTTATACACAGTTTGGAACAAAACAAACGAAAAATCGCTTCGCTCTCCGGAAATCGCTTATGCGTCGCAGTTCCCGAGTAGAGACACAGAAGAGTGTGGCCGTACGTATAGGAGAATTAAGCTTTTTCCACTTGCCCTCTTTTTTTCCTTGTGCGGCTTCTGCATGTTCCCCTTTCAAATGTAACTAATCGTGGTTTATTTATAATTAATTTTTAATTAGTCAGCGCATTATCTCGGAAATTAAAATTTTTACGAATACGCCCTCAGAAGATTAGGATTCTGTTTTATATTTTCGACCATATGTTTTATCGAATTGCCTATACAACCCCTTGACCGTGAACACTGAAACACTACCAAATAGTCTTTGTGAGATCGTTTGGTGGTCAAACTACGTTTGAATTTTTAACTTTAATTCCCTATTTTTAGTAGTTGATACGATTATGATAACATATTATTTTAACCTCCTCATTTACTTTACAAACCAACTTTTTCAGTCGTCGACAAAAAAGACTTCAGTCAAGATTTTGTTTATTAAATAAATAAAAGCAGCTAGCAAACAACAAACTTTTTTTACAAAAAAACGGTGAAATGAATTCGAGTGACACACTGACTTATTTTCGCAATTTACAGAAACTACATAAAAGGAATTCAAAATTCAGGCAAAAAAAAGAAAGAAAAATATGTATATTTTTGAAAACTCAAACTCAAGTCATGGTAAAATTGGCCATTGTAATTGTGCCACGAGACCAAGGTGGCCATAAGGCCCACAACCAGAAGCATTGGTTTGACCAGATTGGCCCAAAGGCGGGATCTATCAGCATTTCAACACTAGCTTTATTATATTTTTCTTACAAAAACAAGAAGAAGCAAGCAGGCCATAACAGACAACTACGTCATATAGATGCATTCATTCTTTTAATATATAAGGAAACCACGCATCACTATATGTATGTATATTCATAACCAAAACATTCCAAAAGATAGATATATGTGTCAAACATTATTACATAACCCACAATATAGAAAGCTAATCTAGTAGCTGAACCAAACAACATGGGTCTCAGGGAGGAAATGGCAGACCGGAACGGTCCCTGGCTTCACCTTAAGGACTTTGAAGGCCAAGTGGTTTGGGTTCCAAGCCGATGTGTTCTTGTGGCACACCGCAACCGCTTTAGCTCGCAGACCGTTCTCTCCTTCGAGCGGAACCGCGTAAACGGTCGTCATCATCGCCTTGTGGCAGTAGAACACCGCGAATGGGTACTTCTGTTTGTGACACACCACTGACTTGTCGTCCGACAACTTCTTTACTCCAGCCGCCGCGATTTTGTACTTCTGCATCGGTGCGTTCTTCTCAGCCACCTGTACATCAATAACAAAGTTACAAATATTTTTTTAATACTAAACCGAACCGAACCGTCAGAAAATGGAGACAGACTACTAGTGACTAGTGTATTACCTCTGTGGAAACCGCACGTACGCGATCTTTGCCAAGTTTAGAAACGCTAAAGTCGACCATCGACTCCAAAGACGTCGCACAGTACTTCTCCTCTCCACCGACTCTTTTCGCTTCACACTCCTCGATCGTCTTCTTCATCATCTCCGCTTCTCCGGAACCGGGTTTGACGGAGAAAGTGTTCAAGATCTCAGAAAACTTCTCCGACCCAAACGGCACCGTTTCCGCCTCCCCACGTGGCAAGAACGCCGTTTTACCGTTGTAACCGTCCTCCGCATTAAACCTGAGGTTCATGGCTTTTCCGGGAACCATGTCTTTCTCCAAGAAGAAGAGAGCGGCTTTGGGATCATCGTGGAGCTGAGTCTCGCTCGCTGCGTAGTTATACACAAAAGGGTTTGGTCCTGGTTTCACACCAACGTAGACTGGCTTGCCCTTGTGGCGCGTGTGCACTATCACGCCGCCTTTACCCACTCCTACGTCGGTTCTCTTTCCCGGTTTCCCGGTGTGGACGCCAACGCCGCCGCCGTGGCCTTTTCCGCCGCCAACGCTTACGTGTGTTCCCTTACCCTTGCCGGTGTCCACGTTCACACCTCCTTTTCCAACGTTCACGTGTGTTCCCTTACTCTTTCCGGTGTCCACGTGCACACCTCCTTTTCCAACACTCACGGCGGTTCCTCCGCCGGGCTTACCTCTTCCGGTGTTAACGATCACGCCTCCTATTCCTACTTGGACGCCGATGCTTTTCTCGTCGTTAAAATCTGCAACAACGAATAATTTGGTAAGGAGACATTTATTTTCTAATAACGTACAGATTCACAAATTTTCATAATTCTATAATTCTTTCTTTTTTTTCGTTTCTGCCGTAAATACTAAATTGGAAAAATTGTTAAAACTAGGCAAAAAAAAAATCATAGTATACTAAACAAGATCCTAGAGAAAACTAAAATCTAAAAATGTTTCTAACATCAGGAATATGATACAAGACTAGAAGGAAACAATTAAAGTGGGTAAAGTAAAAAGAATGTAACCGGGGGTAAAAAGCTGGCGGAGAGAGTTTGGAATGGGAGTGTTTGGTAAGGCAGTGTTCCAATAACGCTCCGGTGTTAAATCAGCCGCAATCGCCGTCACTGAAACAAGAAGACAGATCAAAGGAAGACGAATCGCCATGTTTTTTTTTTTTTTGGGAGTTAGAATAGAAATGGGTTTGATGAATTTGAGGAGAAGAAGTGTGGAATGTACGTAGAATTTATAATAAAAGGGTTTTAGTAGAAAGATCTGAGGTTGAAGTTAATATTAGTAGGGATATAGACGGCTAACACTTACCAGTCTATTTGGGCCGATTAATTATATCTCACATACTCCCTAACTACCACTGCCTTCTGCTCCTTAAATGCTCTTTGCGTCCATGTGTGGACATGTGTTTTTAGCGTCACCTGTTTTATTTCTTCGGTGTGTTTGCTGTTTTCCTTTCATAGAGAGGTTCTCTTATTTTCCATGGAATAGCAAAGAATCATTCACGAATGTTTTCCTTGGGTCAAAATCTAATTCCTTTTCTCTCGATTCAAAACCAGTCGCTCGCAATACATATGAAGGCGTAAAAATTCTCTTAAATATAGAATAAAAACTTGGGAACAAAGACTAAGTTTTCCTTACAAAAAGAATTCTCATTCAAAATTAGTTATCGGCCTAGACAATTATTTCCAAAATAACAAAGATAAGAACTGTGTCATCATCATTATGTTTGTGATCTTAAAAACGAGAGTAAGAAACTCGCATGTATATAGTTGACATCAATCAATTAACAAAACCAAAAGAATAAAACCATTTAATTAAAGGTACTATTTTTTCTCCATGCTCTATAACATTAAATTTATAGTTTGTTATATTATTGGACCGACAGGCTCCGTATATAGTTAAGACAATGGCCCTAATTAAGCTCCGTATAATTTTTACATCGTCGTACAGTTCTATTTTTAACAAAGCTAAGTGTGCGAAAAAATATATCAATTTTTATAAAAGAAAAAGTTAAATATTGTAGTTTTGTTTGGTTACTTATATAACTTATAGAATATGAAAATAGAATGTTGGGAACAAATCTCATAAATCAACTATCTATTACTCAACACGTGGTATTTGAATATTGCATGAAGAACACCGGTGAAATAGTATATCGTATTAGCGGAGGAGATGGTCTCCCGAATCTCCATCAGCTCCATCGGAAAGGAGATTCCCTTTATATATTATAGGAATCTCCTCTTGATTCTCCGATATTCCTCGAAATATTGATATTTTATCTTTTGATGCATGCCCATCTATTATCCAGCAATTCGACGACCATTTAAAAGACCATATCCATAATGCGATAGACCAAAACTCTGTATATGAATTTTTCCTTTTAAAATTCAATTAACTATATTATATACATATCAAACTACCATCAATGAATGGCGGTCTCCGGTATGTTTGGACGGTTCTTCGGTGTCATGTGGTGATGAATTTTTTTCACTTCAATCGAGAAAAGTTTCAAAAGCAAACTAAAAGCGAAAGTGAGATATGGCAATCTTAACTATCGTGTGGACTTTTCAGACAAAGAGATAATTAAAAACGAACAACCAACTCATTTATGGCTTACCAATACATTCGTTTTCATTATTATTTTTATCCATGGATGGAGAATGAATGTACATCGATGTATCTGTTGTTGATGTGGTTTTATATAATTTTAATAGAAAGTTTCAAGTAGAAACTCTCACCCCTACAAAAAAGACCATTCGTGTGATCATACTCTGATTCTCCCTCCAATTTAGCATTGCAAAAACCTTAAAAAAAACCCTATTTTATGTAAATCTCATCACTTTTAACAACACAAAGAATCTTAATACGGTATCATAAAAAAAGAAATATTAATTTTTAAATCATACAAAAATCCAAACCAATTATAACATGTCACATATTAAATGAGTTTTTTAAAAGTTTAAGAACAGTTTTTTAAATCAGAAATTTAAGAGTTAATACTTCTTCCTCTCTCTTACTTTTTATTATTTTATTAATTTTTTTTTTTTAAATACTATACGAAGAAACTTGCATTGAACATGGTCTTATATTCATTCCATTTATGGCAATAAACTCGTACATATAAGGAGATATGAAGAAACGATGGGCCTTACTAAAAAGGCCCGATATCAATCGTGACAAAACCCAATACCCCCATTTTAATTGATCAAATCTAAATTTAACTTTTATTTAGAAGCATCTAAAATGCTTTCAAACGTAACACTGTCATGCTTTCACCAACCATTAGCCCAACAACTTCTGAGATGCCCCAATTTTAACACTGTCATGCTTTCACCAACCAGTTAACTAATTTATACAATTACACTGTGACTGATACAAGGTTGGATTATACGTTATCAATTCATGACCAAGTAAATCAATAAAATCAGTAAAAAAAGAGCAATATAATAAGAAATAACGGATGGAATCCCTATATAATATAATGTATATAGTGAACGCAAGCTACGTAACCATATGAGTATGATAAGAAAAATTCTTGAAAAATATAAACTGACACCCACCTTAGCTAACGTCGTAACTACGCATTGAAAAAGATGGTGATATCACTACATTTATTTTCATAAAACTTTAATTTCTCAATGCCAAAAGAAATGCGAGACAACATATTACGGAAATAAAGGTCGATTTAGAACATAGGGTACGTTTTCTTTCCATAAAAAAAAAAAAAAAAATCACAAGAGTTTGTCTTGTTTTACACGCTTATGGTGACACAGAACAATAACAACAACAAAATATCATATCATATAAACGGATGAATAAATAACCCGTAATCAACACAACAATGAAAGAATTGGAGTTCAGCTTTGAAAACGTCGATGACTTCTATCTTTGCGAGCATTCATTTTTTTTATTTCAATAGTTAAGTTCAAGAATGACAATGTGGTGTTTACAAGAAATGCTTTATCGACTAGGATGAACAAAACTCTGATACTAAGTGTATTATGTAGAATCTAGCACTTTATTCTTTCTAGTGTACGAGAGAAAAATAGAGGAGGGAAACATATATCCAACAATGAGCATGCACGATCACGATCCGTCTTCTTCGATTGACCTAATAAAGGAAAAAAGAGAGAAGAAGAGTGGACCCTAAAGTGAAGAGACATCACTTTTGTAATCTTAATCGCTTGCATTTCACTGGGAAGGCATTAGTATCTTCTGAGACCTTTTAGTTAGGACCACTCTTTGCACCTCATTTCCACACTTACTTCCACTATAGAATCTTTGTCTCATTTCTTCGCATGTGTAAGAGAGAGAGGTATGTGTACTCATCTGATTTTTCACACATGCATCCGCATATTGATACATTTTTGTTCAATATGAAATGTTTATCAACTCTCAATTATTTGTAATAATGATTAAATGGAAGAACTCTACGTGGTTCACATTGCCGTAGAGTATGCCAAGTGCCAACATATATGTGATTACATATGGCCTTCATAAAATGGTTTTTGTGTTGGGCTACTATGCGTGACACATTTTGTTAGTACGTTTTTTCAACTATTAAAAAAACTATTTAAAATTTTGGAAATTTCGAGCGCTCTCACCGTAGATAAGCTTACCATGATATATTCCCATATAATTTAATAAACTCGAACTATAAAAAAACTTTATATACTTGTAAAATTAATTTTTTAATATGTATCCTTGCCATATAGACTGATAGACTGATGAAAGGGTGGGTATAGGGGTTTTGTGTTTGACTCATTAGAATCTTGTAGAGGGTAACCATCACTCTAAGGGAGGAGCCACTTCTGAAACTAATGTCGAGACTTCCGACATATCGAGATACACCCGGCTACATGTCTTATGTTGATGGAGTAGGTGTAATGTGATGTACATCTCAAATCAAAAGTCTAAGGTTAGTTTTGGATCAAAATGATATTGGTTGATGCTGACCCATATATAATGTGGCATGTATTTTTGAGGCGGAATAGTGTCTTTCTCAGAATTTTTTAAAAAGTGTAAATAATTTTCTAGATTTGTTGTAAATTTACTGTGAAAGTTGTAACTGTTTTGCTTTTTTTTTGTTGAAATATTTGTCTAGGGTTTGGATGTACAAATATTCAAATCTAACAATACCATATCCTTTCAATAGTTCCAAAAGAAAGAAAAATCAGCAGATATGTAAATCTGTTACAAATTTTTACAGTTAAAAAAAAACTTTCTCCACTTAACTCATTTCCAAGAGAGTCTACTTCATGTACATCATGAAAATTTGTATTTACATTCTATTCATCATGTACTTTTTTTTTCCACCAAGTTCATCCAATTCCATACATTCTATTAATAGATGATAAAGATTTGTTGAATAGACCTATGTTGTTTTCTTGGACTCATATCACGATTTTCGTGTCAAACACTACATCTGAAAGAGAACAATTTCTCATATAAACCAATTCATGAAAGTCGTCTTACTTGAATGATGAAAATTATTTCCAAAATGATAATATCATCTAAGCCGTGATTATGTGTGTCAAATGAATTATGAATATCATCGACTGATATTCGTACGTACTATTTGTTTTGAGTAACTCATCCGGTTTACATTTAAATGGTATTAATTTATTTTCATCAATTTTAGTTGCATTATTAGAGACACATCTTGTGAAATTAAGATAATCCAACACATCACTCGTGATTTTGTTGGCCAACGATTGAGCCTAAAAAACTAGCCTAATTATTTGTATAACCATATCTGTAATGCTGAAATTTGGTGCAAACACAATTATTGAAATCAGTATGAGTTTCATGAGAAGAAATCAGGTTCAAAAAAAAAATGAAAACAAACATATTGGTAAAGTTTGGTGTGGCTTTTATTAGTTATCCTCGTGAGTAATTATGGAGAGATGTATCGTCACGACCAATCTGCTCACAGAAATTTCAAATCCGAGATTACTCTTTTTAATCATTGATCAATCGAAGCTTCAAGGATCCATAACCGTGGGATGATAGGACCAGTCACGTTTGACTGCTAGTCTTACCGTCCGATCTACATTTCCCATTCTAATTAAATTTCTTTTTTTAAAAAAATTAACGGACAGAAACTGAAATGGTCCATTTGATACCGTTAAGATAATGAATGCGAAGGACCA